AAAATCAGCTGGGCATGGTGTCTCGTGCCTGTAATCCCAGCTACTCAGGAGGCTGAGGCAGAATTGCCTGAACCCAGGAGGCGGAGGTTGCGGTGAGCCGAGATCGCGCCATTGCACTCCAGCCTTGGTGACAAGAGGGAAACTCCGTCTCAGAAAAAAAAAAAAACTTGTGCATACTTCACATAGTTCTCATATTGTGTTTTTCAGCTCCATCAATTCACTTATATTCCTCTCTAAATTGTGTATTCTTGTTAACATTTTGTCAAATCTTTTTTCAAAGTTCTTAGTTTCTTTGGATTGGTTTAAAACAAGTTCTTTTAATTCATAGAAGTTTCTCATTATCCACGTTTTGAAGCCTGCTTCCGTGATTGGAACACACTCGTTCTCCATCAAGCCTCGTGCCTTTGCTGATGAGGAACTGGGATCCCCCGCTGAGGGAGAGGCGTTCTGATCTTGGGTATTCTCAGCCTTTTTTGGCTGTTTTCTTCCCTTCGTTATAAATTTATCCATCTGTGGTCTTTGTATTTACCGTCTTTGTAATTGGTTTTCTGAGTGGACGTCCGACTTATTCTCAGCGCCGAAATCTGAGCAACCCGCTGCACCGACTAAATCAGCCGCATTAAGATTGATGGTGCTTTTCTGATTCTGCACCAAGAACCGACGCTCCGAGGCGTCGGCAAAACCACCTCGCCGGTCACAAGAGTCGCGCTGGCGACCCGTGGGGCTCTTGCGCTGGGAATCTCCTGGTGCGTGAGTAACAAGAATTCATGTGAAGGTATGGCGTCCTCTCCTTCTCTGCGCTTTCAGTGGGAGCTACAATCCCGAGCTGCTAGTGATCAGCCATCTTGGATCTCTCTCCGAGTTGAGATTTTGACTCTATTGCAGCCTGGGTGACAGAGCAAGACCCTGTCTCAAAAACAGACAGACAAACAAGAAAATCCCCCAAAACCTGGCAAAAGCAGACAAGCATGGGTTCCTGGGTTGAATTAAGGGTGTGTATTCCTGGCATGTGTATCTTAACTTCCTTGAGTTAAGGGTAACGGATGGCTGGACGCAGTGGCTAACGGCTGTCATCCCAGCACTTTGGGAGGGCGAGGGGTGGATCACCTGAGGTCAGGAGTTCGAGACCAGCCTGGCCAACATGGTGAAAACCCGTCCTTAATAAAAATACAAAAATCAGCTGGGCATGGTGGTGGGCGCCTGTAATCCCAGCTACTCAGGAGGCCGAGGCAGGAGAATCGCTTGAACCTGGGAGGCGGTGGTTGCAGTGAGCCGAGATCGCGCCACTGCACTCCAACCTGGGGGGCAGAGACTCTGTCTCAAAAAAAAAAAAAAAAAAAAAAAGCTATGTTTGTACAACATCCTAGGTTCAGATCCCAGCTCCATCTCTTCCTGGCTATGTGATCTGGGCAAGATCTCGTCTCTCTGTGCCTCAGTTTTCTTCTCTGTAAAGTGGGGATGACTCCAGTTGTGGATGAGCCTCATTCATGGGCAGACAGTGTGTTCTACTGAGTCTGCATCTAGTAGGTGCTAAACGTGCCTGAGTGTGTTGTTTTTGTTTTTTGCTGAGAAAGGAATGCAAAAAAGGCAACCACGTGTCCAAGGCTGTGTGTGCTTTTTCTTTTTTTAATGTCTGCTGTTAATAAAATATTTTTACAGAGACCAAAAAGTCAGAATAGTGCAAAACATCTCAACACCATGCATTCATGACCACTTCTCGTTTGTGTTAAACATTTGTTCCAAGTCACATATTTACAAAGAAATGAAGGCATCTGTGCAGACGCCGGACCGACGGGGTGGAATCAAAACAAAACGAGAAACGAACAACGTTTTGATTTCACATCTGCAATCACATGCTAAGAGAAGCTTGTGGAGGGGAAGCCTCCCGGGACTGCTTGGCCGATCTGCAGGGTGTCTGACAGAGCACGAGACAGGGATGGACAGGGGTGAAGTCCCCCTGGCTGTGTGGTTGGGGATGAGTGGGGGACCCTCCGCCTGTGACCTGTGTCTCCAGAGAGCCACTATGGCTGGATGGGGGGAAGGGGTGGGGTGTTACTGGACACAGTCAACTTCATTTTTCTCTAAAACGATAAAAGGCAAAGAGAAAAGCAACACGTGTCAGCAAAGACAACTTTGGTCCTCAACGATTCTTAGGAAAGGATTTGGAGGAGCAGACGGGGTTGTGATCCAGGATGGAGGCCCTCCCCCCAGCTTCCCCAGGGTGGCAGAGTTCCGGGAGGCCCCAGGCTGTCCCCATCTGCAAAATCGACAGCACACGGGGGTCGGGGTGGGGGACAGAAAGGCTCTGAGATCCCAGCCGAGAGGTCCCAAGGATTTCTAGTTGGGTGTTTAGTTTTTTGCATCTCTGATGGGGGCATGGTGAGGTTTCAGGCTCTGGGGCCTGAGAGGGGAATTAGGGGCATGGACAGGCACCTCCTCATTTTATGCAAATCATTCGAGGGCAGATTGGTGAGACGGAACAGATCCTTCTTTCTCCGGGACTCACTTTTTTTTTTTTTTTTTTGTGACAGTTTCGCTCTTGTTACCCAGGCTGGAGTGCAATGGCGCGATCTCGGCTCACCGCAACCTCCGCCTCCTGGGTTCAGGCAATTCTCCTGCCTCAGCCTCCCGAGTAGCTGGGATTACAGGTACGTGCCACCATGCCCAGGTAATTTTTTGTATTTTTAGTAGAGATGGGGTTTCACTATGTTGACCGGGATGGTCTCGATCTCTCGACCTCGTGATCCACCCGCCTCGGCCTCCCAAAGTGCTGGGATTACAGGCTTGAGCCACTGCGCCCTGCCGGGACACTCTCTTTACTTCCCCCAAGAGCCTGCTCTGGTCTCAGCAGTTCTTTCTCTGTATTTCTCCATCTCTGTGTCTCTCTCCACCTCCGTGTGTCTCTCCATATCTGTCTCTCTCCATCCTCATCAGGGATCTCACTCTCTGTTTTCTTTTCTTTCTTGCTTTTTTTTTTTTTTTTTTTTTGAGACGGAGTTTCACTCTTGCCACGCAGGCTGGACTGCAGTGGCTCAATCTTGGCTCATTGCAACCTCCGCCTCCTGGGTTCAAGCGATTCTCCTGCCTCAGCCTCCCGAGTAGCTGGGGTTACAGGCACACGCCACCATGCCCAGCTAATTTAATTTTATATTTTTAGTAGAGACGGGGTTTCTCCATGTTGGTCAGGCTGGTCTTGAACTCCCGACCCCAGGTGATCCGCCCACCTCGGCCCCCCGAAATGCTGGGATTACAAGTGTGAGCCACAGCGCCCGGCCTTCTGTCTCTGTTTTCTACTTCATTGCTCTTGGTCAGGGGACTTTGACTCTGAGGCATCACTCAGTGTCACCCCTTTAACCTCCACCCTGCCACAGGCCAACTTCTGTGGCCTTTCCCTGATTCATGGAAATCTGGGGCCACCTCCTTGCATGAAGCCGGGTCCAGGGTTCAGAACCCTGGAGGTGTCGTCCAAGGCCGGGCCCTGCCTCCACTTGCTGGGTGGCTTTGTCGAAAGCCCTGCTCCTCTCTGAGCTTTGTTCTGCCAAGACAGGAACTTCCTGATTTCAAAAGGTTTTCAGCCCCCTGGACTCTTTGTCTTTTCTCTGTCCGTGTCTCAGCCGTGTCCACTCTCTGTCCCATGTGTTGGCCTTGGTCTGGCTCAGACACCTCCTAAGTGCCCAGGTGTGTGTGGAAGGGGAAGGTTGGTACGGACATGGACAGACGTGCATGTGGACGTGTATTCACACGACCTCGTCCCAACACGTAATTCCACTAGGCACATCCTCCCTGGCACCCCCTTGGGCTCAGCCTGTTCTAGGTAAAGTTGGGGTTCCTGAGAGGCCTTCAAACCCCCGTCTGGGAGAAACAGCTCAACAGAGACACCCCCAGTCCCATGGCATCAGGCCGGACTGGAGGAGGGATGGAGGCTGGGAAAGTCCTGAGGAGAAAGAGGGAGATTTTCCTTCAAGAGAGGTTTTTGTAATGGGTTTTGAAGGATGAGTAGGAGTTCTCTGGGGGAAAGAAAAGAGGGAGGAAATTGCAAAAACAGTTCTAGCCTGGGAGTCAGGAAAATGCGTTCACCAACCTAAAGCATATTTCCCTTCACACATCTGGGCCATTGCTGGGGAGCCTAAACACACACACACACACACCCACACACCCACCCACCCACCCACCCACCCACCCACCCAAGATCATGACCAGAAAGACTCCTAAGGAATCCTTTGGGAAACATTTTGGCTCTCTCAAGCACCTCAATTTCCCCATTTCTTTCCAGCCATCCAAAATCTTCCAGATCACCCTCACCCCAGGTCACAGATCACTTCTTCCCCTTTGGAGTCTACTGGTTACAACCCTGAATCATCCATCCTCTCCCCACACTCAGCCACGGCATGGTCCGAAACTCACATCGGCGCCTCAGTCCGTTAACAGACACTCCCTTATTCCTGGCTCCAGCTTCCCAATCCTGCATGAGGATTTGCATTTTAACCTTTGGTTCAGAACCTCTAGTTACCTGCACCTGTCTGAATTTAGGGGACACGCCGTCCCTTGAAGCAAATTAGAAAGTGATGCCCCTTCTTCCAGACAGTTGCCCTTCCTATGTCGGTAAACCATCATCATAAACATACAACACTCAATGTTTAGGATTTGCATGTGGCCTTCTTAGAGATGCCAAACAGCTGGGCACTATACAACTGGACAACTGTGCCCTACAGCCCTGGAGCTCATCTAAGGGCAGATTTTTTAATTTTTTTTTGATCGGGGAGGGGACAGATGGAGTATTGGTTGCTGGTTGCCCAGGCTAGAGCACAGTAGCGTGATCTCATTTCACTGTAACCTCCGCCTTCAGTGTTCAAGCAAGTCTCCTGCCTCAGTCTCCTGAGTAGCTGGGACACACCATCGTGACCGGCTAATTTTTGTATTTTTAGTAAAGACAGGGTTTCACCATGTTGGCCAGACTGGTCTTGAACTCCTGACCCTAAAGGATCTGCCAGCCTCGGCCTCCCAAAGAGCTGGGATTACAGGTGTCTTTTCTTTAAATACAGCCTTCGGAATCTTTCCAAGAATCAATTTCAGCATCTCCACCCCTCTTCACTGGTTTTAGTCTTCACAGAACAGCTTTTGCATGCTGGAATACAATCTCTCCCCAGCTGTCTTAGAATAAAAGTGACACTCCTCAGGACAGCGGACGAGACCCTGCCTGCTCTGATGCCTCTGCAGATCTCCTCGGCCCCCAGGCTCCCCAGGATCCTCCTTGCTGGCTCAGCTCCAGCCATGCCACCCTTCTTGTTTCAGCAGTTCTCATCTCCTGGCCTTTGCATGTGCCGTTTCCCTGCCTGGAGCTTTTTTCTCTCAAGTAAGTGGTTCCCTCTCATTCTTCACCTCGGAAAGCCTCCCCATCTGATCTTCCATCCTCTAGGAACCCAGCTACTCATCTCACCCCACTTTCATTTCTCCCTAGCACAGCAAAGTCTTGCGCTTCCCAATCCAGCAGAAAAAGGAATGCCATCCACACAGGTAGAAAAGCAGAGCAAACTTAGTTCATGCTGAACTTTCTCTAAAGGTCCTGTAAGCACGCAGTAACTCCAGCCAAGTCACCACGACTTTGCTCATTGGAGAAGGAGCTTCCAGCAGGTAAGAGGGCCACCAGAGTATATATCCTGTGGCTTGGGTGTTTGAATGAATGAATAGGATCTTAGAGACTCAGCTCTGAGTGTGTTTGTGTTTTCTCTCTCTCTCTGTCTCTCTCTCTCAGGCACACACACCCCTAGAGTTTCTGGTCTCCTGTTCTTTCCTGTCTAGAGAATTCCGGGAAAGGAAGAAGGGGTGGAGAAACCTGGGACCAGAGCTCGCAAATTCTCTCTTTTGTGGTGGGAGGTCAAGAGCCCTCATGGCATCCCCTATGGAGTCCCAGGAGAAAGGGTTGAGGGCAGGGGTTTTGCTTGGCAGCCAGAGAAGGAAACGTGAAGGAGAGGTCTTGGCCTGGAACTCCCACCCCTTGGAGGAGGCCCCCAAGGGGGAATTAGCAGCAATAGGGAGCTGTGTCAGGTCATCCCGACCTCAGCCCACCCTTCCATGGGGCACACAGGCCTAAGGGAGGGGATAGAGGGTATGGCACTGGGAACCTCAGCCGAGTCTCAAGCAGCTCTTTGAGCCTCAGTTTCGCCATCTGTCAAACGGGTGTGTTGAACTCTATGATATGAGGACTGGGTTTGTTGGGGAAGAAGAAGAGGCTGACTCCCAGAGGGAAGTAGGGGCAACGTGGGTGCCCCAGAGCCGTCCCTCGGCCCCCAGGGTTTGGGCGCCCAAGGGCGCATGTGCTTTTAAAATCCCATCCTCCCCCCTCCCCCCATTTGTTTTTTGCACAAACAACTAAAAGGGACTACGGTATTCCCGGTCCCTCCAACCACCATCCTGGTCCCTCCAGCCCCCAGGCCACCTCCAGGGGCGCTCCGGGGAGCCCTAACCCTTGCCCAGGGCTCCCCCTTGAGTGAGCTGAGATTTTCATACTTGGCAATTGGTCTGGAGTCCCAGGGTTCTGGGACCCGTCTTATGGCTTTTCCAGGGGACAGGAGACGGTGCCTCCCGGTACCAGAGCCCCGGGATGTGGCCTCCTCCGTAGGGACGAGGCTTCCCCCATCCCAGCTCAAAATGCCCCCTAAATGCTGGGGGCGTGGCCTCAAGTTGGAGATGTGGCTTCTTCCTTCGTCGCACCCTTGGGCGTGGCTTCCCGAGAGGGCCGGGCATCCTTCATTCCTAATTCCCGCAAAGGGAGAGCTGTAACAGGGACGCAGGCGCAGCCCTCCCTCGGGGCGGAGCCCCCGAGCCCCGCCCCGAGGGCGGTCCTGCTGAGGCACAAAGCCCGCCCCTCCCCGCCCTCCGCGCAGGCGCAGTGCCGCTCGGCTGCGCGCCCGGCGCTAAGGCGCAGGCGCGGCACCGCCCTCCTCGGCGGAGCGCGTGTCGGACTTGAGCTTCACGAACTCCTTGGCCACCTCGTCGTTGCTGCGCTGCGAGAGGATGCGCAGCACCGTGAGGCCCGTGTCGTCCATGTGGATGCGGCGGCCGAGCGGCAGCCAGCAGGCGGCGGTCCCGCGCTGGGCCAGCTCCCGCAGCTGCAGCACGGCCAGCCCCACCGTGCGGTCCTCGCGCGCGAAGCAGTAGTCCTTGACGCACACCTGCAGCTCGTAGCACTCGGGGCTCGCGTCGGCGCTCAGCGTGCTGCGGGGAGCGGGCGGAGCGTGGCGGAGCGTGAGACATGCCCCGCCCCCCGGGACGCCCCGCCCCACGGCCTCGCCCCCACTGCGTTTGCGGTCCACGCCCACGCCGGGGAGGGCCACACCGGGATACCCACACCTATCACCACCCCACGATACACGATACACTCGCCCCGCCCATGCCCCGTGACTTGCCCTACAACCCAGTGCTTGGCCACGCCCACAGCAGCTGACCCCGAGCTGGGCCACGCCCACACCTGTCTGTTCCCTTTGCACCCACCGACAAATGACCTCGTAGTTTTCCATCCAAGCTCCCGCCCCTCTAAATAACCCTTTCCTCAAACACCGCCCCGCAAGCCCATGCTCCCAACCTGAGATACCTGCACCTGCGCCCTCTTCCGGCGGAACTGCTGCCCGCACGGCCCCGCCCCTAATGTTCCACCCAGAAGCTCTTTAACCAGGCCCTCCTCTAGAACCCCGACGTGGCCCTTCCCCCAGCCCCCCAGCCCACCCCTCTTACTCCCAAGATGCCCTCCAGACACGAGCCTGCCCTGGTGCCTCACTATGGGTGACACTGCCTCCTGCCAGCCCCTCACCTGTGCTCCTGCCCCTAAGCAGTCCAGTGACTCACAAGAGCCCTCCTGCAGGGCCATTCCCAGATGCTCCCTCTTGTCCCCCTCCCAGGTTGCACACCTCGATCTCTGAAGTACTCCGACCCACTCTGGCTGACATCTGACCTCCCACTAGACCAGGCTTCTCCTCCCTAAGGGAGCCAATCGTCCCAAACCCTTCTGACCAAGAGCAGCTGGCTGTGAAGGGCGTCACACCTTGCATAGTCTGGCCCTCCAACGGTCTGAGGGACAGTGAACTGGCCCCCTGTGTAAAAAGTTTGGGGACCCCTGCTCTAGACCCTGTCCTGATACCCAGAGCCTAGGTGCACTCCCAACTCTGAGAACCTCCATCCAATGTGACTCCACCTCCACCCCACGTGACCCCCACCCCGATGCGTGGAATCCATCCACACTCCACTCTTGTTCTCAGAGCCGACTCCCTCTGATGGGCTGCCCCAATGGTCCTGACAAGGCTCCACGTGGACTCCAGGGGTCCCCACCCCCAAGCATCCTCAGTCCTGTCCCCAGGTCCCTCAGCCCCGGACTCATAAGCTTCACCACTGCCACCCTCGACCCTTCACCAGTCTCCAGCCCCAGCAATGGCCCCGCCCACCACGCCCTTCCTGCCCACTTCCCCTCCCCTCTGCAAGCCTTCATCACGAAATTATCCCACTCCGCTCACTGCCTCTCCTGGGATCTGCCTGCCCCGAAGGTGACCTCCATCCGCGTGTCCCCTCCCTGATGTCACTCCTGCACTACTAAAATGTCTCCCTTTCCAGCACCCCCACCTAGAATGTGGCCCCTCCCATTCCCGGGCCCAGATCCCAGATCCCTCCTGCCTACCTGGCCTTGGGGTTCACCTGGGGGATGCCCCCTCCCTTCCCCCCATGCTCTTCAAAGCATCCCAAACTCACAACTGGAAGCTCTCATTGTACTTGGGAGCCCAGCTATTGTTCTTGGATTTGGTGGCAAACTTTCGTTTCTTGTCGCTGAGCTGGGGCCCAATGATGTTGACCTCGATGAACGGCCGGAAGATGCCAGAAGTCTGCCACTTGAGGTCATTGGCAGCCACCACTGTGGGGGGAAGTAGAGGGTGAGGCAGGTCAGGTTCTCCCAGTAGGAAAAAGTAGATGGTTCTCAAAATCTGTCTAAGGTCGGGCGTGGTGGCTCACGCTTGTAATCCCAGAACTTCGGGAGGCCAAAGCCGGTGGATCACTTGAGTCCAGGAGTTTGAGACCAGCCTGGGCAACATGGTAAAACCCTGTGTCTATTAAAAATACAAAAATTAGCTGGGCGGCACGTGCCTACAGTCCCAGCTACTTGTGGGGCTAAGGCAGGAGCATTGCTTGAGCCTGGGAGGCAGAGGTTTCAGTGAGCCGAGATTGTACCACTGCACTCCAGTCTGGGTGACAAAGCGAGATCCTGTCTAAAAAAAAAAAAAAAAAAAAAAAAAAAAAAAAAAAAATTAAAGACCCGGCTCCGTGGCTCACGCCTGTAATCCCAGCACTTTGGGAGGCCGAAGCGGGTGGATCACGAGGTCAGGAGATCTAGACCATCCCGGTTATGAAATCCCATCTCTACTAAAAATACAAAAAAATTAGCCAGGCATGGTGGCATGTGCCTGTAGTCCCAGATACTCAGGAGGCTGAGGCAGGAGAATCCCAGGAGGCGGAGGTTGCAGTGAGCCAAGATCACGCCACTGCACTCCAGCCTGGGTGACAGATACTCTCACCTCTAAAACAAACAACAAAAACACGTCAGGGATGAAAATGCAACGGAAGATCGCAGCAAGACAGATCCCCAACACTGCGAAGCCTCCGTCTCAGCTCGAGGCTGGCTGCTCGAGTCAGTCACCCCAGAGAAAACCCAGTTCTATCACTTTATTTTTATTTGTTTACATGGAGTCTCGCTCTGTCACTCAGGCTGGAGCGCAGTGGCGGGTTCTCGGCTCACTGCCAACCTCCGCCTCCCGGGTTCAAGCGGTCTTCCCACCTCAGCTTCCTTGAACAGCTGGACCTACAGGTACACGCCACCTGCACCCAGCTAATTTTAGAATTTTTTTTTGGAGTCAGAGTCTCACTCTGTCACCCAGGCTGGAGTGCAGTGGCTCGATGTTGGCTCACTGCAACCTCCACATCCCGGGTTCAAGAGATTCTCCTGCCTCAGCCTCCCGAGTAGCTGGGACTACAGGTGCACACCACCACACTTGGTTAATTTTTGTATTTTTTAGTAGAGATGGGTTTCATCGTGTTGTCCAGGCTGGTCTTGAACTCCTGACCTCTTGATCTGCCCACTTTGGCCTTCCAAAGTGCTGGGATTACAGGTGTGAGCCACCACACATGGCCCCCCTAATATTTGAATTTTTAGTAGAGACATGGTTTCACCATGTTGGTGAAACACCACCACACTTGGTTAATTTTTGTTTTTTTGTTTTTTTTTTTTTTGTTTTTTTTTTTTGTTTTTTTTTTTTGAGACGGAGTTTCGCTCTTGTTACCCAGGCTGGAGTGCAATGGCGCGATCTCGGCTCACCGCAACCTCCGCCTCCTGGGCTCAGGCAATTCTCCTGCCTCAGCCTCCTAAGTAGCTGGGATTACAGGCACACGCCACCATGCCCAGCTAATTTTTTGCACCTTTAGTAGAGACGGGGTTTCACCATGTTGACCAGGATGGTCTCGATCTCTCGACCTCGTGATCCACCCGCCTCGGCCTCCCAAAGTGCTGGGATTACAGGCTTGAGCCACCGCGCCCGGCCTGTTTTTTTTTTTTTTTTTTTTTTTTGAGACGGAGTTTCGCTCTTGTTACCCAGGCTGGAGTGCAATGGCGCGATCTCGGCTCACCGCAACCTCCGCCTCCCGGGTTCGGGCAATTCTCCTGCCTCAGCCTTCTGAGTAGCTGGGATTACAGGCACGTGCCACCATGCCCAGCTAATGTTTTGTATTTTTAGTAGAGACGAGGTTTCACCATGTTGACCAGGATGGTCTCGATCTCTTGACCTCGTGATCGACCCGCCTCGGCCTGTAATCCCAAAGTGCTGGGATTACAGGCTTGAGCCACCGCGCCCGGCCAATTTTTGTATTTTTTAGTAGAGATGGTTTCATCGTGTTGGCCAGGCTGGTCTTGAACTCCTGGCCTCTAGTGATACGCCAGGCTCAGCCTTCCACAGTGTTGGGATTACAGCTCTTGGTCACTGTGCCTGACCTAATTCTATCTTATTTAAGCCATGTTGAACACAGCCCAATCTGTGTTCTAGTCAGCAAAAGCCATGAAAAGGAAACCAAGGCTGAGAGACGGAGAAAGTAGGATTCAGTCTTAGAACACTGTTTACCCTGCTGGATCCAGCCATGCCTGAAGGTGTTCACCTCTGGACATTTTTGTTTCACGGACCATTAAACAACAACAACAACAACAACAACAACAACAACAAAGGGTGTTGCTGAAGCCAGTTTAAGGTTGGTTCCTGTTTTAGAGCCTAGGGAGTCCCTCCCACCTCAGACCACTCACCTTTCACTGTGACCTTGTGTTCTCCAGTTCCCGGATGAGTGAACAGCTCAACAGTGGACGGAGACTTCACCCACAGCGTCTTCTACACCCGTGCCTGGGCAGGGTAGGGGAGGATGGTTGGCATGAGCTCTGTTCTTCCCCACCCACCAGGAGGGACCTCGATGGCCTCCCACCCACCCCGTGCTGGCGGCACCAGGTCATCAGCCCTGATAGGGAGGCACTGGGGTAGGGGTGGGGGCGGCCAGGATGGGAGGCGCTCTTGGAAAGCCAAGAATCCTGGGTTCTGGCCTTCTACTGCCTTGCTGTGTGATCTTGGGGCTGTCTCTTAACCTCTCTGGGCCTAATGCAATTCTTTCCTTTTCACTTATTCCATTGATTGCCATACTGTCAAAACTCAGTCTTCCTGTTACATCTTGGCAGAGTCTGGCACCCTGGGCTCCTTTGCCAGTCTGTCCTCTTGGCTGCAACAGTGTCACTGACTCCAGATTCTCATCCTACATAGTTGCCACACCTTCCAACCCCCTTGGTCATTTTCCCCTCTGTGTGTCCTCCGACTGACCCTGCACCTCAGTCTTGACCTCTGTTCTTCTTCTTTGTCTTCACTTCCTCCCTAGCTGCCTATAGACTGGAAAATCCTACCAGCTCTACCTTCAAAATACAAAATACATCCAGAAGCAGAGCCACGTCCTTTTTTTTTTTTTTAGACGGAGTCTCGCACTGTCGCCCAGGCTGGAGTGCAGTGGCACGATCTCGGCTCACTGCAATCTCCACCTCCTGGGTTCAAGTGATTCTCCTGCCTCAGCCTCCTGAGTAGCTGAGATTACAGGCGCCTGCCACCACGCCCAGCTAACTTTTGTATTTTTAGTAGAGATGGGATTTCACCATATTGGCCAGGCTGGTCTTGATCTCCTGACCTCATGATCCACTCGCTTCGGCCTCCCAAAATGCTGGGATTACAGGCGTGAGCCACCACGGGCAGCAGAGCCATGTCTCTTACGTGTATCCTACGCATGCCCCCAGCATCCCATGCCTGGACCATTGCAGTAGCCTCCTGGCCAGACTCCCTCCTTCTACTCTTTCATCTGCTCTCAACACACCAGCCAGAAAAATCCTATTCAGTCAGCTGATGTCGGCCAGGTGCGGTGACTCACAGCTGTCACCCCAGCACTTTGGGAAGTTGAGGCAGGAGGCTCACTTGAGCCCTGAAGTTTGAGACTAGCCTGGGCAATGGGGCAAAACACCATCTGTACAAAAAAGACAAAAAGCAGTGGCCGTGGTGGTGTGTGCTTGCAGCCCCAGCTACTCTGGTGGCTGAGGTGGGAGGATTGTTTGGGCTTAGAAGGGTCCAGGCTGCAGTGAGACGAGATCACACCACTGAACTTCAATCTGGGTGACAGAACAAGCCCCTGCCTCAATAAATAAATAAATAAATAAATAAATAAATAAAATTCAAAAGTCAGATCATGTCTCTCCTTGGCTCAAAACTCTTTCATGGACCAGACAGTGATGGCTCATGCCTGTAACCCCAGTACTTTGGGAGGCTCATGCTTGTAATCCCAGGATTTGGGGAGGCCGAGGTAGGCAGATAACTTGAGGGCGGGAGTTAAAGACCAGCCTGGCCAACATGGTGAAAGCCCATCTCTAATTTTGAAATTACAAACACAAAATTTTTGTATTTGTAAAAATACAAAAATTAGCCGGGCATGGTAGTGCACGCCTGTAATCCAGCTACTTGGGAGGCTGAGACAGGAGAACCACTTGAACCTGGGAGGTGGAGGTTGCAGTGAGCCAAGGTGCAACCACTGCACTCCAGCCTGGGTGACAGAGAGAGGGACCCTGTCTCAAAAAAGAAAGAGAGAGAGAGAAAGAAAAAGAAAAAAGAAGGAAAGAAAGAGAAAGAAAAAAGGAAAGAAAGGAAGAAAGAAGAAAAAGAAAAAGAAAGAAAAAAAGAAAGAAAGAGAAAGAAAATTAGCCAGGCGTGGCTGTGCATGCGCCTGTAGTCCTATCGACTTGGGAGGCTGAGGCAGGAGGATCGCTGCAACCCAGCAGGTTGAGGCTGCAGTGAGCTATGATCCCGCCACTGCACTTCAGCCTGGGTGACAGGGCAAGACTCTGTCTCAAAACATGAAACAAAACAAAAGAAAGCAAAAACAGAGTCTTCCCCGGCTCCCACCTCGCTCTGAAATAATCAAAGTGGGTTTTGTGATTCTGCACCACCCCTTCCAAAAGTGGCCCTTTCCAATAGGTTACTATGACCTCTCCCCACTCACCCCATCCCTGCCCTTGTTAACTCTGACCCAGCCCCACGGGTCACCTCATTGCATCCCCTGGCCCAGAATCCTCATCCCTTTGGATGTGACAGCTTGTAGGGGCATCTTTTTATTTTCCTTAGCCCTATTTCTCTTCTAATGCAGAATCTTGATTAAGTTTCTTTTCTTTTTTTTTTTTTTTGAGATGGAGTCTCCCTCTGTCGCCCAGGCTGGAGGGCAGTGGTGTGATCTCGGCTCACTGCAACCTCCAACTCCCAGGTTCAAGAAATTCTCCTGCCTCAGCCTCCCGAGTAGCTGGGACTACAGGCATGTGCCACCATGGCCGGATAATTTTTATATTTTTATTAGAGATGGGGTTTCGCCAAGTTGGCCAGGCTGGCCTCAAACTCCTGACCTCAGGTGATCTGCTCACCTCGGCCTCCCAAAGTGCTGGGATGACAGGCATGAGCCACTGTGACCGGCCAGAATCTAAAGTTTCTGTTAAGAAATGCTCCCACACTCACCTTAGACCTTGTGGCTCAGGTAAGATGGGCTCCATCCCAGCTTCAGAGATGGCTCAATGAGCCACAGCTGGCCAATCAGAGCATTCCCTGCCCATAGCCTCAATAATTGGTTCAGAGATGGTCATGTGACCCAAGCAGGGCCAATAGGAATTGCACCTGGGACTTTGGTTGTAACTCTTAGTGAAAAAGGTCACCCTCTGGTGCTAAGCTGTGAGCATTGGGCTATTTTTGCTCAATGAGACCCCAAGGAGGTCTCAGCAGAGAACAACGGCCAATGGCGTTCTTGGAGACTCTGGATTCAGCTGTTCCAGATGTCAATTCAACTCTATCTATAATCTTTCATTTTAATTTTTATTCTTTTTTTTTTTTTTTTTTTTTTTTGAGACAGAATCTCACTCTGTCACCTAGGCTGGAGTGCAGCGGTGCGATCTCGGCTCCCTGCAACCTCTGCCTCCGGGGTTCAACCAATTTTCCTGCTTCAGCCTCCCAAGTAGCTGGGATTACAGGCATCCACCAACACGCCTGGCTAATTTTTGTATTTTTAGTAGAGATGGGGTTTGATCATGCTGGTGAGACAGGCTGGTCTCAAACTCCTGACCTCAAGTGATCCACCCACCTTGGCCTCCCAAAGTGGTGGGATTACAAGCACGAGCCACTGTGCCTGGCCTTGACTCCTGATTTTTTCCCTTCTGTAGCCAACAAGTCCCTTGTCTGCTTGAATTATGGTGTAGTGTGCTTCTGTCTGGGGCCACCACATGTGTCCTTTATGGTTCCAGTGGGGATCACTGACGGGGGAGCTTAAAGGAATCTGTCCCAGTTCTGCCTTCTGTGACTCAAAAGGGCATCCTATGGGGCCTGTGGACCTGTGACCGCCAGCACCTCCCCCAGCCCCTCCCAACCCCCCACCAGGCAGCTCCCCCTTCCTGGACCACCCCATGCACAGGGAGAAGAAGGGGAAGTCAGGTTGGTCAAAGGCTGATTGGGTTACCTCGCGCTGGACAGGAAGTGACTGATGATCGGGGAGCACAGGGGCCTGGAGACTCCCATCACCCCAGTACTGGGGTATGCGGCCCCAGTCTTTGCTGCCCACCCCAGGTCCCGTTCCTTGATGCCTCAGGCTCCCATTCCACCCCGACCTCCACCAGTCACATGCTCAGCCGCTCTGCCCTCCCCCAGGCCGATGCTTCACAGCAAGCTCAATCCGGGCCAGACTTGGGTGCCGGGGGTGCTGGGGGGAGTCGGACAGTGGTGGGTCAGGTGAGGGGTCAGACCAAGGCCAAAGCTAGTAAGAAGTGGGGAGGGGGGCAATGCTGGGTGCCCCCATCCCATGCTTTGCTGGCTCCGTGGGGAAGGGTCTTTCCTGGGCCTCTCAGTGTCTCTCCCAACCCCACTCCCCACTCCCCAAGTCCCGGGACCTCTGCAGGGGAAGGTTCCTGGGACAAGTGGTCGAATCTCTTCTGCTATCAGCATCTCATCTGTGGAATGATGGACCCCTTGTGGGGCAATTGGAGAAATCCTTTTCAGATTCCCCAGGAAGGCTAGGCATGGAGTGAGTGGCCTCATGCCTGTAATCCCAGCACTTTGGGAGGCCAAGGTGGGAGGATCATCTGAGGTCAGGAGTTAGAGAGCAGCCTGACCAACATGGTGAAAGCCCCTCTCTACTAAAAATACACAAATTAGCCAGGCATGGTGGCGCATGCCTGTAATCCTAGGAGTGAGGAGACCAGCTGTGAGGCCAGGAGTTTGAGACCAACCCGGGCAACAGAGCCCGGGAGGTGGAAGTTGCAGTGAGCTGAAATGGTGCCATTGCTCTCTGGCCTGAGTGGCAGCGCCTGCCTCAAATTAAAAACAAACTGGCCGGGCGCAGTGGTTCACACCTGTAGTCCCAGCACTTTGGGAGGCCAAGGCCAAGGTGGGTGGATCACTTGAGGCCAGGAGTTCGAGACCAGCCTGGCCAACATGGTGAAACCCCGTCTCTACTAAAAATACGAAAATTAGCCAGGCATGGTGGTGTTCGCCTATAACCAGCTACTCAGGAGGCTGAGGCAGGAGAATCGCTTGAACCCGGGAGGTGGAGGTTGCAGTGAGCTGAGATTTCAGCCTGGATGACAGAGCGAGACTGTCTCAAACAACAACAAAACCCAACACAGATTCTTCAAGAAATACCTGGCATGAGGTCTTGATCAGCATAAGAGGCTAAGTGTTCACTGTTTTCAACAGTGGAAATATGACATCAAATATATTAATAAGAACTATAGGCCGGGCGCGGTGGCTCAAGCCTGTAATCCCAGCACTTTGGGAGGCCGAGGCGGGTGGATCACGAGGTCAAGAGATCAAGACCATCCTGGTCAACATGGTGAAACCCCGTCTCTACCAAAAATACAAAAAATTAGCTAGGCATGGTGGCGTGTGCCTGTAATCCCAGCTACTCAGGAGGCTGAGGCAGGAGAATTGCCTGAACCCAGGAGGCAGAGGTTGCGGTGAGCCAAGATCACGCCATTGCACTCCAGCCTGGGTAACAAGAGCGAAACTCCCTCTCATAAAATAAAATAAAAAAAAAAAAAAAAAAAAAAAAAAAAAAGAACTATAACACCGGGCTTGGTGGTTTGCGTCTGTAATCCCAGCACTTTGGGAGGCCGAGGCGGGCGGATCACCTGAGGTTGGGAGTTCGAGACCAGCCTGACCAACATAGTGAAACCTCATCTCTACTAAAAATACAAAATTAGCCAGGTGTGGGGGCACGTGCCTGTAATCCCAGCTACTCGGGAGGCTGAGGCAGGAGAATCGCTTGAACCTGGGAGGTGGAGGCTGGTTGTGGTGAGCCGAGAGGGCATCATTGCACTCCAGCCTGGGAGAAACTCCATCTCAAAAAAAAAAAAAGAAAAAAAGAAAAAAAGAAAAAAAGAAAAGACCAGTAACAACAGTGAGGAATTGCTGAGATCTTATCCTGTGCCAGAAATTGCTCTAAATGTTAAGTCCTCCAATTCTTTTTTTTTTTTTTTTTTTTTTTTCTGAGACGGAGTTTCGCTCTTGTTACCCAGGCTGGAGTGCAATGGCGCGATCTCGGCTCACCGCAACCTCCGCCTCCTGGGTTCAGGCAATTCTCCTGCCTCAGCCTCCTGAGTAGCTGGGATTATAGGCACGAGCCACCATGCCCAGCTAATTTTTTGTATTTTTAGTAGAGACGGGGTTTCACCATGTTGACCAGGTTGGTCTCGATCTCTCAACCTCGTGATCCACCCGCCTCGGCCTCCCAAAGTGCTGGGATTACAGGCTTGAGCCACCGCGCCCGGCCTAAGTCCTCCAATTCTAAACATAATCTCATCAGCCTCTGCTAGTGGCTCACAGCTGTAATCCCAACACTTTTGGAGGCCAAAAAGGAGGATCACTTGAGGCCAGGAACTAGATATCAGCCTGGGCAAGAAAGTGAGACCCCCCCCCCAACAAAAAAAAAATTAAAAAATTAGCTGGGCATGGTGGCATAGGCCTGTAGTCCCAGGTGCTCGGGAGGCTGAGGCAGGAGGATCACTTGAGCATGGGAGGTGGAGGCTGCAGTAAGCAGTGACTGCACCACTTCATTCCAGCCTAGGTGACAGAAGGAGACCCTGTTTCTAAATAATAATATTAATAACAATAATCCTATGAAATAGGGTCCTTGAGTGTCCCCATTTTACAGATGAGAAAACTGAGGCTCAGGGAGACAGATTCTTGCCCAAGGTGCCTACCCAGGGAGTCACTGAGCTGGGATCTGAGCCCACCTCTTAAACTGACAGGTGCCCGTCCCGGGGTCCCAGGATATGGCTTTAAAAAGACGTCATCTCGGGAGAAATGGATTCTGAGATTCCCACTGGAATCGCTTTTTCTTCCCCGTGTGGAACCAGCAAATCGTCCTTCCCCCTCACCCGCCTGGGCCCTCCAAGCCACTCAGGCCTGGGCAGGGGCCCTGCAGGCCCTGGAGGCAGAAGGGCGAGCCTTTTACTAGCCGGGGCCGGGAGGGGCGCAGGCACCGGGCACCAGGCGCGGGTGGCGGGCGGGCGGGCGGCGGAGGCACGTACCCTTCTCAGGATAAATGTCTTCACTAAGGGTAAACCTAGTACCTTTTCCACCATGGACTAATTGGGGGGTGGATGGGGGAGAGAGGGGGGGAGCATGGGGAGCGGGGAGAGACGAGCCAGTGAGAGGTGAGGATGGAGGAGTGTGTGTGGAGGGGGCAGGGGAGGTGCGGAGAGGGGACAGCGAGTGAGAAGGAGGAAAAACAAGAGAGAGAGAAACGTCAGCTGCAGACAGACGGACAGACAGACACACAGCCTCCTGCTCCAGGGACACCAGGGACACTAAAAGCAGCCAGATCTGGACGGGAAGCTGAGCTCAGAGACCCAGCGTCCACGGAGGGCACTGGGCTGGCTGGATCCGGGGAGAAGAGGCCCGTTCGAGGCTCCCCTCGCCCCAGGCTGGGTGCGACAGCGACTCTCCCTCCCCCTCCCGAGGTCAGCCGCCAAACTTCTTTCCCTTGTCTGTCGGGACCAATTGTGAAAAGGGGAGGGCGGTCCCCAGGAAATCCTGCTCTCCATCCAGCCCCAGCTGCCCTGTGTGTGCGCTCAGAGAGGGACAGGAGACCGAAGCAAAAGACAGAGAGAAAGAGAGAGAGAGTTTGAGAAATGGGAACTCCCTCTCCGTCCCTCCCTCCCTTGGGGCTGTCAATCATTCCTTAGCCCCATGACATCACAGAGGTCCTGCTCAGGGGACTTCAACCACTCCCTGGGACCATGATGTCAGAAGCCCCACCCCTGGACCTGCCAATCATTCCTTGACCCCTTGACGTCAGAGGTCCTGCCCATCCTGAGCTGTCAATCACTCCTGATGACCCCCAGAGAGGTCAACCACTCCTTGGACCCATGACTCTCAAGGTCCCCCAGGAGCTGACAATCATTCATTGGCCCTGGGACACCACAGATTTTCCCAGGCGACGACAATCACCTTGTGGCCCTACGACATCATAGGTTCCCCACCCTGGTCCTTGATGTCAAAGACATTCCATCCCAGAGCTGTCAATCATTGTCTGGCCCCAGGAGATTACAGATTTTCCCAGGAGTGGACAATCGCCTCCCGGCCTGTGATGTCAGAGGCCCCGCCCCCACAAACGTTGCATCACTCATTGGTCCCTGGACTTGGTGCAGAGATGTCAATTCTGCCCCATCCATGACATCACAGGAGGAGTGAGCCAATGGCTGCTGCTTAGGCTCTGGGTTGGGCCGCCTCTGCAGAGCTGGAGAGGGTGGTGGGGTCTGGGCACCCTTACCCTGGGCCGATTGCGTCTGCACGAAGGTCTTGATGAGCAGGTCGGTGGCCTGCGTGTACAGTGACAGGGCATAGCGCAAGGATTGCAGGTCCGGGCTCTTCTCCAGGAAGGTCTTCTTAAGGCCCACGCCACCCGCGTGGAAATATTGCTGTGGAGGATGGGGTGGGGAGAGGTGAGGCTGGTGGTATCCTCTATCCACTCATCTAGGGCTGGGCAGCCCTGCTGTTACCACTCCCAGTCCCTCCCTCTGCTACTTTTTCACCTCCTCCTTTGCTTTGACTAGTGAACTCCTATGCATTCCTCAGAACCCACCTCTCACATGCCCTCTTCCAGGAAGTCCTGGCTTTGCCCACCTTGGGCTCCCTCAGCCCGCGTCCTTCCCTCTACCCCAAGGCTGACCCTACAAGGCTGAGGATGGGGTTCCTTAAGCCTCCAGCATTAGCCCGCCCAGCTCTGGCACAGAAGGGGGACAGAGGGAGTATTTACAAATGATTGAATGAATATGGGTCTGAGGCGAACCTAGGTTCATGACCACAGCAGCCACACCCTCTGCACCCCCCACCTGGGATGGGCAGGGGTAGGGCCTCTCACCTTGATGGTGTCCAGGGCCAACTCAACAACGGCACACTGCTTCGGGGTCAAGCTCTTGGCTTCTTCTCGTACCATGTGGTCCTGGATGGATGGGGAGACGGCCACATGGGTAGTGTGGGCCCTGCCTTCAGAATCTGTGTCTATGGGCCTCATCTCTGTAAAACTTGGACAAGCTGGGCTGGGGCTCAATGTTTTCATCATCCCAGCACCCAGCATGTGATTGGCACACAGCAGGTGCTCAATGAATATTTGGTGAATGACGTGCCCTCTTGATCAAGCTGTACCTGAAGCTGAACTATTCACACTTTTCTCACACACCGGGGAGCAAATGTCTTGTGCTTGAGTGAGTAGAGTTCCTGTCCTTGCAGCCTGTAATGCATGTCGTCATCCTGGGACCCCCTCCCCCAGGATGGTGGCAACCTGGAAGCCACGTGAGTATGAGGGGGCAGTCCCCCACCCCATAATCTGTCCCCACTCCTCACCTTGAGTTTGGACAGCTGGCCCAGTTCCTTGGCTGCATTGAAGATCATCTGGGTTCCCTGCAGGTAACAACAGACAGCTGGGTGAGGGCAGGGGCGCTACCGCCTTGTCCCCAAACACCCAGCTGACACCCCAGCCCAGGAGACCATCTTGGTTCTTGCCCAAAGGCTTGAGGCTGGGCAATAATTGTGTCCCAGGGGCAGGGGTCTGGAACGCCCCAGGAAGAACTCAAGAGGATGTGGTAAGCTTGTCCTTGAAAATCCAAGTCCCATGGGGATAGTACCCACTCTGTCAGCCCCACCCAGGCTTGTGAAACGGGACGAACAGACAGGGACCAGGGGCAGTGGATTGGGGGAGCCTCAGACAGCGGTGTTTGTGGGTGTGGGCAGGGCTTTTCAGGGAAAGGAAGCTTGGAGAAAACAGGAGATTGGGCTGGGGTTTCAGAAAGTGGCTCTGGTGAAACGTCTCCTCCTCCTCAAGGCATCATGCCCTCTGCAGGGAAATTTCCCCTGTAATCTGGGAGGACTTTCCGTCCGATTTTTGTTTTGTTTTGTTTTTTGACACAGGGTCTCCCTCTGTTGCCCTGGCTGGAGTGCAGTGACATGATCATAGCTCACTGTGGCCTCACACTCCTGGGCTCAAGAAATCCTCCCGCCTTCCCAGTAGCTGGGACTACACGTGGGAGCCACCATGTTCAGCTAATTCTTTTTTTTTTTTTTAGATGGAGTTCCACTCTTGTTGTCCAGGCTGGAATGCAATGGCACCACCTCAGCTCACCACAACCTCTGCCTCCCGGGTTCAAGCGATTTTCCTGCCTCAGTCTCCCAAGTAGCTGGGATTACAGGTATGCCCCACCATGCCCGGCTAATTTTTGTATTTTTAGTAGAGACAGGGTTTCTCTTTTGGTCAGGCTGGTCTCGAACTCCCAACCTCAGGTGATCCGCCCACCTCAGCCTCCCAAAGTGCTGGGATTACAGGTGTGAGCCACCACGCCCAGCTGCTCAGCTAATTTTTTAATATTTTTGAAATATTTTCCGTAGAGATGGAGTCTTGCCATGTTGTCCAGGCTAGTCTTGAATTACTGGGCTCAATTGATCCTTCCACCTCAGCCTCCTGAAGTGCTGGGATTACAGGCATCAGCCACATTGCTAGCCAGTCTGACCTTTTAAAGGAAAAATCCTCCCTCTACACAACAAACACCTCCATATCCATCCTGCATCCCACCCCCAAACAGATACTAGCAAGACGGCTTTGACAATCTAAATGGGTCTGGGTTCAAATTGCAGCCCTGCTGTGTGCCCTGGGAGAGTCACTTAACCTCTCTGAGCCTCAGTTTTCCCATCTAGATGGGGAAAATTAGATTCACTTTGTGGCTTAGTCTGATCTAAACAAGTCTTTGCTCAGTGTTCACTAATTATCACTTGGTCTCAAAGTCAAAGGCAATGTTAAGGGAGACAGGGTTCCAGCCTGGAAGCCATGCACGTGTCTAGCCTCCTCTGTCACTGTTGGGTGGCCTCAAGCGTGTCCCTGAGCTGTCTGAGCCTCAATTCCCACCCTGGCTAACAGAGATACCCACAGAAACTTGGGGGACAGAGTAGGGCTGAGTATTGAGGTAATGAGTCTTGTATTACTGGGTCCTGGGATGGTCTGGGGGTCCCGGGCGAGGCTAGATGGGGAGGGGGCCCATTTGCAGTGGGGACGTTTGGAATTATCTTCATAGTTTACCTGCTGGTCATGTGGTCATTCCTACTAGTATTATTATTATCATCTTGGCTGTTACTATTATTCTTATTTCTTATCTGTGATCCTAAAGTTCTTACAAGGCACAGTTACTCAGGAGCCCAGTGGACTGGGCCTCAGTTTCCCCTGCTGCACCCACCTGTAGTCTGGAAGGGCTCAGGGGCCTTCTTGGGCACCCTCTGCCCTACCCACCAACCCCCCACCCACCACCCCCCACGAGCAAGCCAGACAGACAAAGGAAGAAGAGACCAACAGACAGGTTCACAGTACGCCCTCGGACGGCACGGACCACAGAGGTGGAAGGGGCACGGGGTGGGGTGAGGGAGTGGGGTGGGAGCCAGACAGACAGTGAGAGGCTGGTCTTACGTCTGAGTGGCTTGTCAATTTCACCCTGCCCTGTGGAGAGAATCAGGTGGAGGTCAGAGTTCTGGTGGCTGCTGGGAGGATACTCAGTGGGACTTCTCTGGCCCCTCAAACCACAGTCCCACTTCCCAGCCCAGGAGCTCCTCCCCAGGTCCTGGGTCTAATGGTGGGTCCCTCCCCAGCTAGCACCTCCTCTTGTTCCCTAGCATGGGCTTTGGGGTCAGACTCCTTGACTACGAGCACACTCTCTGGGTGCCCAGGAGGCTGGAAGCAGCCCCATCCCACAGTCAGCCTGCCCCTGCCCCAGGATGGGGTACCTGGGGAGGTGAGGAGATGAAACAGGGGTAGGGTAGGAATCTCTCCTCCCCGAGTTCCTAAGGGGCTGCCCCTATATCCCCATACCTGACTCTACAAAAGAACATACTAACATATACTGCAAGTTCACTCAATGCTGAAGAACTCATACACTAAACTACACACATGCACTCCTAAACATTTGCAGGCATGTGCACAATCACACACATAAAGCCATACACCAGGTGTCCCCAAACTATGGCCTGCGGGCCGCATGCGGCCCCCTGAGGCCATTTATCCAGCCCCCCGCCGCACTTCAGGAAGGGGCACCTCTTTCATTGGTGGTCAGTGAGAGGAGCACAGTATGTGGCGGCCCTCCAACAGTCTGAGGGACAGTGAACTGGCCCCTGTGTAAAAAGTTGGGGGACGCCTGCCATACACCCTTGACCTCACAGGAATTCACATACACATATAGGGTGCCTGGCACATTGAATGTGACCCCCAAAGGGCTGGCTGAGAGAGTAGGCAACCCTTGTGTCCCACATTCACAAAAGTAAGACTCCATTTATATGTGCACAGGCACAATAACATCTGCACAGGTGCACAGCAAGTCAGCTGCCTGCGTGTTGCTGCAGCTCCCATGTTGCTGTAGCTCCCATCTCCGTACCAATAAACATCCATTAGCACAGCAACAACAACAAAAAATCTATGTAAAAAACAACACATGTCTCAATCCAGAGTGGTGATCCAGTGTGTAGGCTTTTCAAGAAGCCACAGAGTTTCAGCTGAGCCCAGGGCTGTGGGTACTGCTGTGGGAGGACGGGAGCTGTTTGTGCACATACATTAGTTCACATTTGCACACACACTGCACATTCTGTCCCTGGAGAATCACTTCATCTCTGACTTCTGGTTTTTCAGGACTTGGTTAGGACAGCTATCCCTACCCACGACCCCCAGCTGGCCTTCCTGCTCAGGTGCACAGATTCACACACATGCACACACATGCCCAGACACCAGAGCTCAGGGCCTCACTGAGATGAGGCCCTCATTACCTTTTCTAATCCCTTGCCATGTTTTCTCAAGAGGTTCCCCTGCAGAGACAATGTCACAGGGTGATCAACCTGGCAAGTCGTGCAGGGTGGGAACCCGGGATGCTCACAGGTATATTCATGGGGACAGGGGAATCCACACTGCACAGGGGACTGGTGATTGGGTTGCATGGGGATTGTGGTGTGTGTGTGTGTGTGTGTGTGTGTGTGTGTGTGTGTGTACTTTAATGACTGACTCTTAAATGGTGTGAGAGTCAGAGACAGTAAACAGAGAGAGAGAGAGAGAAAGAGAGAGAAAGAGATACAGATACAGAGCTAGAGAAAGCCAGAAAGAAAGGAGAGAAGTCACTGCCAAAACATAATCCATTTACATTTACTGTACAATGAGACTCTTGGTTCTTGGGTTAATAGCAAAGCAAATGGGCTGCATATTCAGACAGATCTGAATTTGAATCCTGACTCTGGCATTTACTATATGACCTTAAACAAGTGACTTCTCTCTGAGCCTCAGCTTTCCTCATCTGCAAAATGGGGACAATAATATCCACCTCATTCAAAGGCTTGTTATGAAGGTGAGCTGAAACAGGGGCTATGAGAAGGTCTGGCATATGGGCAGTCATTAAATGCAAATTCCTTTATCCCCCTGCCCACAAGTGCATTGCCTGTGGTTGGCTATGCTGCCACCAAAGCATACCCTTTGGCTCTCTATGGTTACAGCCAAAGACCCAGGCTGCGGCTACCAAGAAGTAAGAAGAGCACTTATAAACTTTTGACGAAGTAAAATCTTGTGACAGCCTTGTCTTGCCCACAAAGGGAAAATCTGAAGTTGTTTTGTCTCTGCTCTCATACATGTCTGCATATCACTGGCCCCCCCCACCACCACCATCACCACCACCACCATCATTAGCTCTGATTTCGTGATCGCTGCCTCTGGGCCAGTCACTGAGAGTGCAGTGGCGTGATCTTGGATCACTGCAATGTCCACCTCCTGGGTTCAAGCAATACTGAGATGAGTATTTTAATGCATCATGCCATTTGGTTCTTAGAACTACCCTCAGGGAGGTGATGCAATGAGCCCCATTTTCCAGACAAGAAAACAGAGGCTGGGAGGTCAAGTGACTTCCCAAGGTCACACAGAGAGAGAGAGTGGCTGGGCTAGGAACTGACATCAAAGCCATGACACAAGTCTCCCACTTGGGCACCTGGGTGTGTGTCTGGCATTGGTGTGTGCCAGTGTGGATGGTGGGAGTTGGGTAGGCAGGGTGGTGGGGTACTGAGGGATGGTCTGGAGCATGGAATTTCAGGGGAGTCAGAAGTAGAGACCCTCATGATGAGGATCTGCATTCTGGGAAGCTGCTGACAGTTCAGAGCCCAAAGAGGAGGTCAGAGGGATCCTGGGGTTGATCCTCTTTCTAGCTTCAGGGCATCTGGTGGCATCTGGGCACAGGAGCGAGGTTGGATCCTACCCTTAGATGGCAGGTCCACTGTGAAGGAGGAGCTGGGCCGGGGGTTTGGAAGCGGGTTGTGGGGGGCTCCTCCGGACTTCAAAGGGAGAGGGTGGGTGGGCGTGATCTCCCTCCCTCCCAGCCCTGCCCCCTCCCCATGCCCTGCCCCAGACAGACACAGGCACATCTAGGCGGGAGGAAGGATGGCAGGTGAGGAGGGGGTGCTGGGTGGGTGGGGAGAGGGGTGCAGCGACGCGGTGGGCCGAGTCCCGACACAGAGCGGATGGACAGACATACGACAGACGGGCCTCTACTTACGATCATCTGTCAGCCATGATGGGGGCAGGTTGATGGGGGAGGAGGGGAATAAGGTACCATAAGTTTCCCGGGAAGGCCAGGGAGGGGTCGGAGACGGCAGCAAGGAGGGGCAAGACCCCTGCCCCAGCCCAACCCACAGAATTGGGGAGGCTGGGAAGTCCGGGCCTCCCCCACCATCCTTGCCTCTCTTTGGCCCCCGAGCACCCTCCCCAAGCCTCCAGGGTCCAACTGGGAAACACCTCCCTGTTCCGAGATGTGCCCATAGCCCACGTGCCATTGCTGTTCTCAGGTTCCTGAGGCCTCCTGGAGGGACCCACACCCAACTACATCCCTCTACAGATGTCTGGGTCCCCCTGGTCCCTGGCAGGAGGGCGGTCTATAGATCCTGGTCTCTGGATGGCCACTGACCTCTGCTTGACCTCTCTGACCCTGGATGCCCTTCATGACCTCTGGCTGACCTCCGGGAGCCCCCTGGTCTATTGATCTCTGATCTTTGGAACGAGCCCCAAAGCCCTTAGAAAAACCCACCATTGATGCCTATGTCTTTTTTTTGTTGAGACAGGGTCTCACTCTCGCCCAGGCTGGAGTGCAGTGGCGCCATCTTGGCTCACTGCAGCCTCCACCTCCTGGCTCAAACAATTCTCGTGTCCCACCTTCCCAAGAAGCTGGGATCACAGGCATGTGCCACCACAACCAGCTAATTTCTGTATTTTTAGTAGAGACAGGATTTTACCATGTTGCCCAGGCTGGTCTTGAACTCCTGACCTCAACCAATCTGCCTGCCTCGGGCCTCCCAAAGTGCTGGGATTGCAAACGTGAGCCATGGTGCCTAGCCAAGGTCTATGCCTTCCATGACTCAAGGATAACCTTGATCCCCAAGCCTACCTGTTTTCTGGATGACCTCTGACCTAAGAATGCTCTTTTGACCTACATGCGACCTCTATGACTTTAGATATCTCTTGACTCTACCTAATCTCTTTGACCCTGGAGTCACCACGATGGACTCTGAATGACCTCCTTAACTCTTTGATGAACTTTAACCCCCATGTGACCTCTCTGACCTCTGAATGGCCTCACTGATGTCTGGTGACTTCCACAACCCTTGGATGGACCTTGAGCCTGGATGACCTCTCTGAGCCTGGACGCCTTTGTTCACACCCCCCAGCCTCTCTAGGCACCACGTTTTCTGGGCTCCCCCCAGGAGGTGACCCAAGTGTCCCCATGGGCCCCCTGCAGGCCTCACCGTCTGGTCGGTGAGGGGCGGCAGGACGATGGTTTTCTCCATGGTGTTCATAACCAGCTTCCACAGCTCCTTCAGCACTCGCTTCAGCACCGTCTTCTCGCAGATTTTGGCAAAGAGGGTCAGGCTGGGGGGAGGGGAAGGTCTGAGAGGGGGCCCAGCTGGTCCCAACCCACAGAGCCCCTTCCCTTAACAGGTGGTCGAGGCATTCCACAGACATGAAAGAGGGCACACAGCCTATACAGGGACCCCTGGGTGGTCTAATGGGACTATGATATCTGATGCATGAAGAGAAGAGTGAGTGGTGGTTGGACTGGCCAGCAGGGACCAGATGGGAAGGGGCATCAGTGTCTGGGAGGAAGGCTTGGGCCTTATCATGAGGATAGGGGTAATGGGGAGCCACGGAGTGTTCAAGAGGGAGACACAGCCAGCCTTTCATGTTTGAAAGAACAGTGTGGGGGATGAACTGAAACAGGAAGGATGGAGATCAGGGACTATAGGGGATAAGGCCAAGCCCAGGAGAAAGAGGAGGGAAATGGTCAGAGGAAAGCAGACTTGAAAGGGAAAGCAGCAAAGAAGTTGTGGTTGGATGTACAGGGGTTGAAGGAGAGAGGCAGTCCACCATGATCTATCCACCAACTGATCCAGTACCCACCAATCTATCCCTCCTCTAGTAGTCTTTAATTCTCTATTTTTCTATCCATCCATCCATCCTTCTATGTATCCTTCTATCCATCTACCCACTGGTCCATTTATTTATCCATTCACTAGTTCATTTATCCATCTGTCCATCCATCTATGCATCAAAACATTTATTCATCCATCCAAATATTTATCCACCTATTCATCCATCCATCCATCCATCCATGGACCCACTCGTCCACCTACCCACCCATCTGTCCTTTCATTTATGCATCACATTTATTTATCCATCCAAATATTTATCCACCTGTATCTATGCATCATCCATCCACCTAGCCATCTGCCCACCCATCCACCCATTCATTTATTCACCCAGTCAGCCATCTGTCCATCCATTTCTGCATCAAAATATTTATTCAATGATCCAAATATCTATCGACCTATCCATCCATCCATCCATGCATCCATCCATGCATCTACGCATCAAAACATTTATTCATTCATCCAAATATTTATCCACCTATCCATCCATCCATCCATCCATCCATCCGTCCATGCATGCATCCATCCATCCAGCCATCTGTGCGTCAAAACATTTATTCATTCACCCAAATATTTATCCATCTATCCATCCATCCATCCATCCATCCATCCATCCATCCACCCACTCACCCATCCACCCATTCATTTATTCACCCAGTCAGCCATCTGTCTATCCATTTCTGCATCAAAATATTTATTTAATGATCCAAATATCTATCGAACTATCCATGCATCCATCCATGCATCCATCCATGCATCTATGCATCAAAACATTTATTCATTCATCCAAATATGTATCCACCTATCCATCCATGTATCCATCCATCCATCTTCCCATCCATGCATGCATCCATCCAGCCAGCCATCTGTGCGTCAAAACATTTATTCATTCATCCAAATATTTATCCACCTATCCATCCATCCATCCATCCATCCATGCATGCATCATCCATCCAGCCATCTATGCATTGAAACATTTATTCACTCATCCAAATATTTATCCACCTATCCATCCATCCATCCATCCATGCATCCATCCATCCAGCCATCTGTGTCAAAACATTTATTCATTCATCCAATTATTTATCCACCTGTCCATCCATCCACCCATCCATCCATCCACTCATCCATCCATCCATTTATTCATCCATCCACCCATCTGTCCATCCATTTATTCATCCATCCACCCATCTGTCCATCCATTTATCCATCAAAACATTTATTATTCATCCAAATATTTATTCACCTATCCATCCATTTATCTATCCATCCATCCAACCATCCATCCATCCATCCATCCAGCCAGCCAGCCAGCCAGCCAGACATCCATCCAGCTACGCATAAAAACATTTATTCACCCATCCAAATATTTACTCAACTATTCACTCATCCATCTTTTTAAGACATCTATCTTCCATCTAGCCTTCTAAACATTTATCTTTTAATCCATGCATCCACCCACCTACGCATCCCTCATGTCACCACCCATTCATCCACACAAATATTTACCCAGGAAGCCTTCCGATCATTCACCCACGCAACTTTCCATCCCCTTCATGCCACCATCTATTCGCCCATCCAACTATCCAATGACCACCCAGCAAACATTCCCTGCACACTCTCTCCAGACCAGTTCCTGGGTCTCTCTGGCCCTGCCCCAGCCCCTCCCTGGCCAGCCCAGTCCACCTGGCCCGGCTCACTTGCTGTCCAACAGGTCCATGATGGGCTGTAACACATTGTCAGCGTCCTGGGCCACGCTACTGCAGGCACTGGCTGGCACATTGCCTGTGCCCTTAACCTGGCTAAGGATGTCACCCATCTGTTTGACACACTCCTCAATGTGCGGCTGGAAGCTGGGGACACAGAAGGGAAGGGCTCAGACCAGAGGAAGGGCCGGATGAAGATGCAAATGTTGATCTGTGGTTGTTAAGGTCATATCAGCATCACAGCACGTAATCAAGCAAGAATGAAGAATCATAACAGCAGAACCAGGCAAAGGGATAAGACATTTGCCTGTTGTTCATTTCATTCTCAAAATCCTACTCAGGTACTATTATTGTCATCACCCTCACTTTACAGAGGAATAAAAAATTCTATAAGGCTCAGAGAGATTAAGTGATTCCCCCAAGGCAGCCACTAGTCACAGCTAGTAAGCAGTAAAGCCAAGATTTCAACTCAGCCTTGTCTAACTCTGAGCCTGCAATCTTCATTTCTACATCTGCTGAGCCTCCAGACGCCCCAGGCCCGGAAGGCTGGGGGCTGTTCCCTCCCCACTGCTCCCAGCCCTGGAGATGTTCCCACCTGGTAGCAAACACCCGGCTGAGCTCGTCCAAGACATTATTGAGCTTCACCTGAAGCTCCTTCAAGATGTCACTGGCTTCAGCATCCAACTAAGGAGAGAGAAGGGTCATCAGGCCAGGTCCAGTAAGCATCCACGCATACTGGGCATTTTCTCTTCTGACCCAGGGAAAGGGATCCCAAGGGGCTGGAGGGGAAACTGAGGCACAGAGAGTTGCACGGCATGCGTGGATTTAAGAGCATGGTTGAGCTGGAATTTATCCCCAGGCCTGGTGGCATATGAGCTCGGGGACCTGCAGGAACGCACAGTGGTGGGGGTGCTCCCATCCCGTCTCCAGCCCTGCCTGGGCCCTGCCTCACCTCCTTCCCTCCCATGGCTTCGAACATCTTCTCCAGCTGAACTCTTAGCTGTTGCGTGTTGTTCATGAGGATGCAGGGCTGTGGAGGGGAACAGAAAGGGGAGTCAGGCCTCAGGACCTCTCCCCAGAGCCTCCCCTACCCTCCGCCAGGGACCTCGGAATGGTTTCAGGGTCTGGGTTTGGAGAAAGCTGGGGTTCCACGAGGTCACCTGCAGACGGCAAGCAGCATTTGTGCTCAGGTTTCTGGGCGTGTTGCCAGGAGGGGGCATCTCTGGGGATGGGTGGGGACAAGGCCAGCCAGCCAGACATCCATCCAGGTAATCTCCCAACCCCAGGCCTGGTAGGTCCATCAGAGGGGCTGGGAACTCGGCGGGTAGCAGAGTTTCCTGCAGGGCCCAGTGTTTTCCAGTTCACACCCCTAAGGCTTCATTTGCAACAGCCAACAGTGACACACTAAGGTGGGTGCCCTCACACCCAGATAGACACACAAGATTCCCCAAAGACACACAAATCCAGACAGGCACAGCCAGACACAGCCACAGACACACACTCACACCATGCACAGTCAACACAGCCAGAAAAACCTGGTGAGACACACCCACCAGATGTGCACAGCCAGATGCACACACACACTCACACTCACTTATACCCTCACACTATATGCAGTTAACTCAGCCAGACAAAACATGGTCGCACACACCCAGACACGCACAGTTGGACACACACATAAGCATACACACACTCACACTACAACCGGTTAACACAGCTAGGTAAAATATGAGACACACACCAAGATGTGCACAGTTGAACACACATACACATACATGCACTCATGCTTTACCCAATTAACACAAACAGATGGAACATGGCTGGACACCCACACTCAGATATGTACAAACACACACACACAGACACACATATGCTCACGTTACACCCAGTTAACACAGCCAGATGAAACATAATCAGACATGCGTACTTAGATGTGCACAGTCAGACTCACACACACACAGTATAACAGTCAACACAGACAATACACAGTGAATCACATGCACTCGGATCCCATACACTCAGGCACACGCAACTAGATACACTCTGATCACACACATTCAAACAAGCACCTGTAACCACACACACAAGCCAGTCAGATCACACACAGGTGGACACACATAGCCTCAGGTGTCAGGGCCCTGGGAAGAAGGGAGCCCTGGGGATGCTGAATGGGGCTGAGGAGGGGACAGGTCAGGGGCCCCAGCAGGTCACCACTTTCTCCTTCTCCTTGGAGCAGTAAGAGGCAAAGTCTTTGGAGATGATGTCCGCGTACTGGAGGAGCACATTACTGATGGTCTGGGGAAGACACAGAGTGTGGGTGAGAGGAGAGGCTGGGACCAAGGTAGGCTCCAGTCACCAAGTGCCATCAAGAGCCACTAGGGAGATCACTGATGAGCCCAAACCTATTGGCACCTAAGATGGACCCTTGGGCTAGGCAGATTCTCCACCCAAGGTGACCATCAAAGCCTAGAGGAGGTGCCACTCAGTGAAGACAATCATTTTATGTAGACCCAGCTTTTTTTCTTTTTTCTTTTCTTTTTTTTGAGACAGAGTCTTACTCTGTGCCCAGGCTGGAGTGCAATGGCATGATCTCAGCTCAACGTAACCTCCGCCTCCCGGGTCCAAGCGATTCTCCTGCCTCAGCCTCCTGAGTGGCTGGGACTACAGGCAAATGCCACTACGCACAGCTAATTTTTGTATTGCGGTTTCACCATGTTGGTCAGAATGGTCTTGAACTCCTGGCCTTGTGATCTGCCCGCCTCGGCCTCCAAAGTGCTGGGATTACAGATGTGAACCACCGCGCCTGGCCGACCCAGCTCTTTTTCAGAGCAACCGAGCGTCATATTAACCCAGCCTCAACTACAAGCATGACCTGATCTTCAATCAAAAGCCAGTTCCTACCTGCAATCCCCAAGGTCAACACAGCCTAATGCCAATCAATCAAACCTCAACACCAATGATCCCAACCCTCAAACTCACCCCAAGACGCACTCAAATTCTGTATCAATCACAGCACTCACTCCAACCTCGATCCCAAATTAAGACCCAACCCAGCCTCAAACTCCAACCAACCAGCGTTGCCAACTGCACCAATGACCTCAGATCCTCAGTTCACACCCTGAAGGCTTCAAAACATTTATTCAGGTGGGAGCGGTGGCTCAGACCTGTAATCCCAGCACTTTGGGAGGCCAAGGCGGGAGGATCACAAAGTCAGGAGTTCGAGACCAGCCTGGCCAACATGGTGAAACTCTGTCTCTACTAAAAATACAAAAAAATTAGCCGGGCATGGTGGTGTGCACCTATAATCCCAGCTTCTTGGGAGGCTGAGGCAGGGAGAATCACTTGAACCTGGGAGGCGGAGATTGCAGTGAGCCGAGATCACGCCACTGCACTCCAGCCCAGGCAATAGTGCAAGACTCTGTCTCAAAAAAATATTATTTATCCATCTAAATATTTACCCACCTATATCTATCCACCATCCATCCATCTACTCATCCACCCATGCATCCACCCATCCACCCATCTCAACCTGATCTCAAACCATACCTCAACTTCAACCTGAGCCTACACCTCAACTCCAAAGCCAACCTCAACTCCAATCTCAATTTAAACACCAGCCCCAACCCCGACCTCCAGCCAAACCTCAACTCCAACCTCATCTCAACCTCAACCTCAACCCAACGTCAATCCCAGCGTCAGTGACACCACCAACCCAACTGTAACCCATCTCCAACTCTGACCTCGATTCCCCAGCCCTGACCTCAGCCCCCAGCCCCAACCCTGCCCACTTTCCCACACCTTGGCAAAGCGTCTCATGTAGTGCCCCACAATCTGGGGGTCAGGGCACTCGAGTTTCTTGATGATTTCAAAGCTCTGATTGAGTTGGGAGAAGACGTCCACCACGGAACAGGAGAATAGAGCATGCTCCGAGGTCTGCTGGAACTGCAGGGGAAAGAAGGCAGGGGGAAGGAGGAGGCTGGCGCCAGAGAAGCCCCAGAGCACGACTCTCCCGCTATCCACGGGGAGAGCCAGAGACCACCTTCCCTGGGGTGAGATGGCAGAGGGCGAGGTCGACTTAAGAGTCAACCTCTAGAGGTGGACGTGGAAGCCATGGGGTGTATGGAGACATCTGGCTTGATGGAACTCACATTAAAAAAAAAATTTTTTTTTTTTTAAAGACAGGGTTTCACCATGTTGGTCGGGCTGGTTTCGAACTCCCAACCTCAGGTGATCCACCCGCCTCAGTCTCCCAAAGTGCTGGGATTCCAGGCGTGAGCCACCACACCCAGCCTGGAACTCACATTTTGTAGTTGATGAATAAACAAAAAATTTAAAAAAAACCATGAGCCAGACGAAGATGGCAGATACCAACAGAGACTGGCCTCATCCCAAGGGCAGATTTCCCCCGAAACTGGACCCCAGTGGGAAGATCAGGAACTTGGTTGTGGGTTGGCCTTCTTACCCCGTCCTTCTTGTCTCGCTCCAGGGCGCCATGCAGGAAATCCCGGGACACCTCCTCATTCTCGTCCAGCCACTGGATGACGAAGGGTTCAAACCATCTGGAATGAAGAGCCGGGGTGGGGCTCTGCCACCTCTTCGCTTCCTCCACCTCTGCGCTGCCTGGTTCTGGCCCAATGCTAGGTGGTGCTACAGTGGCTCCAATTCTTCTTGGAGCTCTCCCTGCAGCCTTGAGTGGCTGCCCCTCTGCCCACCTCCTGCAGCGAGCCTCAGTTACCTCGCTCATGAAATACATTGAGCGGCCCCTTTTACGGCAGGGCCCAGACCTGTGGGAATCCTCGTTCAGATACACTGCCCATGACAAGTGGGTTTTTTCTCCGAGCTCTTGTTTTGTTTTATTTTATTTTATTATTGAGACAAAGTCTCACTCTTTCAGACCTCAATCCAGGCTGGAGTGCAGGGGTGCAATCTCTGCTCACCTCAACCTCAGCCTCCTGGGTTCACGTGATTCTCCTGCCTCAGCCTCCCAAGTAGCTGGGATTACAGGCATGTGCCACCACGCCCAACTCATTTTTATATTTGTTTAGTAGAGTTGGGGTTTCACCATGGTGGCCTGGCTGGTCTTGAACTCCTGACCTCAGGTGATACTGCTGCTTCAGCCTCCCAAAGTGCTACGATTACAGGTGTGAGCCGCTGCACCCAGCCAAGCTCTTGTTTTCCTTTTCTTTCTGTCTTTTCTTTCTTTCTTTTCTTTTCTTTTTTTTTTTTTGAGACAGGGTCTTGCTCTGTTGCCCAGGCTGGAGTGCAGTGGTGTGATCTCAGCTCACTGCAACCTCTGCCTCTCAGGTTCAAGTGATTCTCCTGCCTCAGCTTCCCACATAGCTGGGATTCCAGACACATGTCACCACACCTGGCTAGTTTTTATATTTTTAGTGGAGACAGGGTTTTATGATGTTGGCCAGGGTGGTCTCAAACTCCTGACCTCCGGTGATCCACCCACCTCAACCTCCCTAAGTGCTGGGATTACAGGTGTGAGCCACTGTACCCGGCCAATTTTTGTATTTTTGTAGAGCCTTGTTGGCTAGGCTGGTCTCAAACCCCTGACCTCAGGTGATCTCCTGCCTTGGCCTCCCAAAGTCCTGGGATTACAGGCACAAGCCACTGTGCCTGACCCATTCACTCATTTCAGACATGGGGTCTCACTACCTTGTCCAGGCAGGTCTGGAACTCCTGGGCTCAAGCAAGCTTCCTGCCTCAGCCTCCCAAATTGCCAGGACTACAGGCATGCGCCACTGTGTCTGGCCATTTGGCATCTTTAACTCTCCAATTTCTCCTCCGCAAAATAGGAGTTAAAATGATCCTACCTTAACTCATAGAATTGTCAAAGGATAAAATGAGAAAGTCACATGGTTCCTGCTGCTGTTATGACTAGGAATTTTCGGGGCTGTAGGAGTCAACTGCTCAATGGCTGAGCCTAGAGAACATTGGGTTCGAGCCCAGCCTGTGCCCCCGACGCCCAGGTAACATAAGGAGGTCAGCCCTCCCCTCTGGGTTTCCTTCTAGCTGTCAGTGCTATGGTTCTGGCTTGGGCTGGGCTTGGGGCAGGGGACTTACGCAGGGTACTCAGGCACACGGTCCTTGAAGGCAGGAAGTTCCGTCACATACTCATTGTAGAGCCATTTCACCTTGAAGTGGAGGTTCATGTAGTCGGCACTCTTGCATAGACGATGTTTGTCATGCTCTGGCCAGGGACAAAGAGGGTGGCACAGCTGGAAGGTCTGCCACCCTGGGTCTCGGCAGAGAGGCTGCCCACTCTGGCCGTCACTGATGTCCAACTCAGGCATAAGGCTATAGGGCACTCACAGCCTTGGCGGGGGACACAGAGGAGCAGCCATCTCTGTGGCCAGGCTGGGGAACACTGGGGTGGGAAACTCACCTTCCATGGCATACTTCATGTCTTGGGCAAACAGATTCCACATCACTTCAGCGCTGATTTTACCCACATTCAGCTCCTGGGGAAACCTGGCAAAGGCATGGACGTATAAAACTTTGGCAGGCAGAAGACAGATGGCATGGGTTGCTTTGTTCTTTCCTGCCCTACAGAGGAGCGTACGCTAGGGTAGAGGGATTTGGGTAAAGGTTCCCTCACAGCCACTGCTGGCTGACTCTGCACTAAGGCTTCACTTCTCCTTGAGCCTCCACCCACTCATCCATCTGTCCTTCCATTCATTCATTCATCCATTCACACAACTATCCACCCATCCATTCACCAACTCATTTATCTATTCATCCATCCATCCTTCCATCCATTCATTCACCCACTCCTGCAACTACCCATCTATCCAACCACTTACCCCTCTGTCCATTTATCCATCCATCCAACCATCCCTTCATCCATTCATTCACCAAGTCATGGAACTATCCATCCATCCATCCACTTACCCATCTGTCTATTTATCTGTCTACCCATCCATCCATCTCTCTGCTGGGAGAAGCAGCAGCGGAGGAAGGGCTTACAGTGTGCCTACATAAATTGGTTTTATGTATAAAAGAAATCAGGAACAATAAGCTGTGGAAGGCCGCAGGAGGCTTCTGAGGAGGAAGGCCTCTCCATGCCTCATGTTCTGGTGCAGGGTGACCTAGGCTCTGTTACCATAAATATTGTGCTCAAGGACGTAAAACCCCTCTGTAGCACTATGACAGAGCCAGACTTGTAGGCTCTTTGTAAGGCCCACGTTCCACCAGCTGCACATAGATAATAGGCTAAGGATAACCACATGTTCTTGTTTTGTGAAACTCCCAAACCGCCACTGTTACCAAACTTTAGAATGACACATCAGTTCCGGCTCACTGATTCAGTTTCAGCTCACTGATTCACTCCACCACCACGTCACCCTCTCCCCACCATCACTCCCCCCCTGCCCTATAGATCAAAGTGATTGTAGCCAATAAATAGTGTGAGAGATCAGAGCTCGGGACCTTCACTGCCTCCAGGAATAAGTGATGGCCCCCTGGTCCCACTTTCACTCTTAATCTGTCATTTTCTCAATCTTTTGTTGCCACTGAACTTGGGGTACCCATGGGTGATGTGGGGGCTGGTTCCCTACATTTATCCATTCATTCCTTTACTATGCAACTATGCACCCATCCATTCACCTATCCATCTATCTATTCATCCATCCATCCCTCCATCCATTCATTCGCTCGTTCATCCATCCACTCAACCACCTATCTATCTGTTCATCCATCTATCCCTCTACCCATTCATCCAACTATCCATCCATCCAGGTACCCATCTATCTTTTCATCTATCCATCCTTCCATCATCCACCTACGTATCTATCCTTCCATCCATTAATGCACCCACTTATCCAACTACCCACCCACATCTATTCATCCATCCACCCATCCCTCTATCCATTTATTTACTGACTTATCCAGCTATCCATTCATCCATTTACACATCCAACTGTCCATCCGTTCATCTTTTTTTTGAGACAGGGTCTGATTGTTACGCAGTCTAGAGTACAGTGGTGTGATCTCAGCTCACTGCAACCTCCACATCCCGGGTTCAAGTGATTCTCGAGTCTCGGTCTCCCAAGCAGCTAGGAGTATGGGTGCAACCGCCAAACCCAGCTAATGTTTTGTATTTTTAGTAGAGATGGGGTTTTGCCACATTGGCCAGGCTGGTCTCGAACTCCTGAATTCAGGTGTTCCTCCTGCCTCGGCCTCCCAAAGTGCTGTGATTACAAGCGTGAGCCACCACGCCCGGCCCATCCATTCATTTATTCACACACTCAACCTTCTACAAATCTACCTGTCCATCTGTTTATTAATTCATCCATTCATCCACCCACCCTTCAATCCATCCAAATCCCTGATCTTAATTCCCCAACTAACCAAGACATGTTAATGTCCCGAAGTTAGAGCCCTCTCTAGCACTCATCTGGCAGAGAAACAGAACACAATAGCTCATTCAGCTAACACAAGTGAAAATTCGACAGATGCATAAGTCCACAAATGGAAACTGTGTACACATCCACACACAAGACTGTATATTGTACAATATTGTATGTTGAAGTATGTTCACTATTCTTTATACACATATGCATAATCAAACCTGCTGACCACAACAATATACAAAATTACTTACCTCCATACGTGTACGTACAATGCAATTTAAATGTACAGTACATAGTAGAGTAGCACATAGTAATACTTGAGCAACACTATCGCTAATTATCCTACGCACATACGAAATTGTATACAGTTATTCACGCGAATGAATGCATACGAAATACATGTCTGATCATACCGTGATTGTGAACATACACACAGTTTTGTTTATGTTTGCAAATTGTACCCATATTTGAATGTCGCACAGGCACAATCAGACCCCTCATTACCCCCAGGTACGTTTCTGTACATTTGTATCATTAGACCTGATCACCCTGACACACAAGACACAAAGTTGTATACATACACACGACGACACCCAGATAATTAACTACACAGAGACACGACTCACTGGTTGAGGCAGGGAGTGTACGAATTCTTGTCTTCCTCAATGATGGACACTATGAGGGTAATCAGCTTGGACCAGAAGTCGAGATTCTTGATGCTGGGACCCTGTTCCTCTGGGGGAACTTCCCCCTTCTTCGCCTGAAATGGGCAGTGGAGGCCTCGGTTATAGGAGGGCCAGAGGTTGGTGCCTCGGTCAGTTTATTACCCAGGGACAAGAGGTTGTTGAGGAACGGCTCCCATTACCATGTGTATGGTTCAGGTAAGAAGTCTACAGAGAAAGTAAACTCATAAGCTGCTCCAAACGCAGCTCATGTCAATGCAGCTTGACGAAGCTTAAGATTTTAGACTCCACTCTAAAACTGAATGGAAATAAATGAAACCAAATTCAGTTGAACAAACCCAGCTCCACTAAACCAAACGGAACTGAAATGAATGCAAATTAAGCCCACTTAGCTTAACGGAAGTCAGTTCTCGGTGTTGAATCAACGGAATTGAACTTGGGCCAATTATACTGAATGGAGTGAAATTCAACCTAACTGGATTGAATTAAACTCAAATGAACTCCATTGGATTGAACCTAATCAACTTGTCCAAGACGAACATTAACCCAAATCAAAACAATGGAAAAAAATTGACTTGAACTCAACTCTACACCAAGTCAACCCAATCCGATTCTACCTATCTAAACGCAGCCTAACATATCCAGTCCAATTCAACCCAACGTTTGTTAATTAATGGAAATGAGCATCATCAGCTGAAATTAGCCCAATTCAACCCAACTCAACTGACATCAATTGCTTCTAATCCAACAACCCAGTTCATCCGAACTCAAAACAATTTAACCCAGTTGAGAACAACTTGACTTGACTGTAAATGAACTAAATGGAAATGTATGAATTTGTACTCAATAACACTCAGTGCAATCAATCAACTTAGTTCTGCTCACTTTTTTTTTAAGAGACAGGGTCTCACTCCATCACTCAGCCTGGAGTGCAGTGGTATAATCATGGCTTACAACAGACTGGCACTCCTGAGCTCAAGTGATCCTCCTTCCTCAGCCTCTCAAGTAGCCAGGACTATGGGTGTGCCACCACACCTGGCTAATTTTTATATATTTTGCAGAGATGGGGTCTTGCTACATTGCCCAAACTGATCTCGAGCTCCTGGCCTCAAGGGATCCTCCTGCCTGGCTTCCCAAAGTGCTGAGATTACAGGTGTGAGTCACTGAGCCCAGCCTAGCTCACTAATTTGTCAAGAACATTTTTTTTTTTTTTTTTTTTTTTGAGACAGAGTTTCACTCTCATTGCCCAGGCTGGAGTGCAGAGGTGTGATCTCAGCTCACTGAAACCTCCGCCTCCCGGGTTCATGCAATTCTCCTGCCTCAGCCTCCCGAGTAGCTGGGATTACAGGTATGCACCACCACATCCAGCTAAGAACAATTTTAACTTAAGTCAACTAAACAGAAATAAACAGAACTAAACTGATTATGGTTGAACTAAACAATTTAATTTAATCCAGTTCACCTCAACTCAATTCAAATGAGAGTGAGACTGATTCCAAGGCTAATCAACTGAATGTAAAGGAACAGAATGAAATCAAACTGAACTGAACACAGCTTGTGTGTTACATCCTATCAGAACCTGGGATAAGGGCTGCCTCCAGCTCCCACAGCCTCCAAGACCCCACCATCTCAATACTAATCATCCCCGTTTGTATATTTCCAGTTTGTACATCTTTCCCTCATAATAGGCCATAAGCTCCTTATAGGTGGTGGCGCCTGCCTGTAATCCTAGCACTTTGGGAGGCTGAGGTGGGAGGATCACTTGAGCCAGGAGTTCGAGACCAGCCTGGGCAACATACTGGGATGCCTTCTCTACAAAAGTACAAAAATTAGCCGGGCATGGTGGCATGTGCCTATAGTCCCAACTACTTGGGAGGCTGAAGTGGGAGGATCGCTTGAGCCTGGGAGGTCGAGCCTGCAGTGAGCCATGATCGCATCACCACACTCCAGCCAGGGCAACAGAGTGAGATCCCATCTCAGAATAGATAAATAAATTCAACTCAACATTGATTGAACAGTGACTGCAAGCCAGACATAAATTTTTATGCCAGGCCGGGCGCGGTGGCTCATGCCTATAATCCAAGTACTTTGGGAGGCTGAGATGGGTAGATCACCTGAGATCAGGAGTTCAAGACCAGCCTGGCCAACATGGTGAAACCCCATTTCTACTAAAAATACAAAAAATTAGCTGGGTGTGGTGGCGGGGACCTGTAATCCCAGCTACTCAGGAGGCTGAGGCAGGAGAATTACTTAAACTCGGGAGGCAAAGGTTGCAGTACGCTCAGATCGCACCACTGCACTCCAGCCTGGGCAACAAGGGTGAAACTTCCTCTCAAAAAAATTTAAAAAAAAAAAAAAACAACTTTATGCCAAACTCAGCTACGCAACCAAGTGTACTATGTGCCTACTGTATTTTATCTAAAGCTTATAGCTCTTGAACTCTTCTCCCTACTCCTGAGATGTGGGTTAATGATCCCATTTTACAGAGTAAGATACTGAGGTTCAGAAGAGTTAAATCCCACAGGAAGGGGCGGAGCTGGGACTTGAGTCTCGCTGATTTCCCCGTTCCCTTCTGACCCATCTAGGGTCTCACCGGGTCTGTCTGGTACTCCCGGCTGTAGAGCTCATGACAGTTGTTGAAGATGTACTCATAGGTAGAATTAAGGCAGGCTTTCACGCAGTCCTTCACCACCTGGCTGGCTCGGGGTGGGCTCTGGAGTTCTTGTACCTGAAGGGAGGGAGAGAGGCATAGGCGGCCACAGCTGGGACAGGAGGTCCCCAGAAGTGACTGCAAGTCATTTTGGGTTTAAGGAAATGAAGTGGAACGGAGGGAGAAGGTTACTGAGAAAGGCTGCCATTCTCCAGGAGAAATGGCACTTGTCCCGAAAGCTAGGAATCCTAGAGAACCTTCCTCGGAGGGCAGATGCAACCAGATCCTCTCCTACCTTCATCCGAAAGAAGGTGATGCTGGTGAGAAGGTCCACAGTGGATTTGAGGTCCTGGAGTCTCTCCGGGCTGCTGGCTGGGAAGTTATTCTGTTGGAAACAGGAAGAGAGGTGGGGTTATGGAAGAAGGCTCGGGGAGGAGGGGAGAGTGCTTTTTAGGGGGATACAAAGTCTCCCTGGTTTCAGGTTGGGGGTTGGTTAGAGCACCTCGAAGGGACTTGGGGTCTGCTTGGATGCGCCAAGCACGTTAGGGCAGGTAGTGCCCGTGCAGGCATACACACGCCAGAGGAACACATCGTAAGTGTGGAGATGGGTCCCCTCATGCACACACCTGCTGGTTGCTTTCCCCTCCAGGCACACACACGTGCACGGGGCCAGGAAATCCTCATGCACGCACTTCCTACCCGGTACATGGAGAGGTCAATCCGCAGAGAGTTGTGCAGCTGGTCCAAGAGTTTCACGAAGCGCTCTTTCTGAGGAGGAAGGGGAGGAGGGAGGATGGATGGAGGCAGGACTTGGCTGCCATGCTGGCTGAGCGCCTACCGTACACTAAGTACACCCCATCCACCCCCCTCATAATGTCCATTTCCATTCAGTTGCAACCTCTTACATTTATTTTTTTTTAGACAGCCTCGCTCTGTCTCCCAGGCCGGAGTGCAGTGGCACAATCTCAGCTCACTGCAACCTCTGACTCCAGGCTCAAGCGATTCTCCTGCCTCAGCCTCCCAAGTAACTTGGACTACAGGCACAGGCCACCACACCTGGCTAATTTTCTTTTGGATTTTTAGGAGAGATGGGTTTCAACATGTTGGCCAGGCTGGTCTCAAACTCCTGGCCTCAAGTGATCCGCTCACCTTGGCCTCCCAAAGTGCTGGGATCACAGGCATGAGCCACCTCGACCGTCCTCCATTCTATAGCATTCTACAGAGGGATCAATGGAGGCCCAGAGACAGCAAGTGACTGGCAGAAAGTCACACAGCAATCTGGTCTAGATTGGGGACCCAGGAGTCACATCAGTTCTGACCGGTATAAAGTTGGGCTTTCCCTCATTCTCCAGTCCCAGCCCCCAGGACTGACCCCGAAGTTGGAGGCGGCGAAGCGGTCGGAGGCAGACACGTTGGTGGAGGCGGTGGTGTGCGCGTAGTAGGCATTGATGTTGGCGAGCAGGGTGCTCATGACGGCGGGCACCCCCGGGCACATATACTTGGAGGAGAGGCAGGCAAAGTGGCTGGAGACAGGGACCAGAAGGCACTGGGTCAGGGTTCCAGCCAGGATGGACCAAGTTCCCCCCAGAACGCCTCCAAGACAGCATCTGTGAGTGGCTGTCCGCCACCACCCAATCCATCCCCGCCTGATTCTATCCTTGGAGTGTCTGCGTCTCCTCTCCACTCCTTCGTTATACCCTTTTGAGTTGCTCTAACTCTGCTTCTCTTTTTTTCTTTTCTTTTTTTTTTTTTTTTTTTTTTTTTGAGATGGAGTCTCACTCTGTCACCCAGGCTGAAGTTGAGTGGTACAATGTCAGCTCGCTGCAACCTCCGCCTCCTGGGTTCAAGTGATTCTCCTGTCTCAACCTCCTGAGTAGCTGGGATTACAGGCAGGTGCTACCACACCTGGCTAATTTTTGTATTTTTTAGTAGAGACAGGGTTTCACCATGTTGGCCAAGATGGTCTCGATCTCTTGACCTTGCGATCTGCCCGCCTCGGCCTCCCAAAGTGCTGATTACAGGCGTGAGCCACCGTTCCCAGCCTCTATCTCCGCTTCTAACTCCTCCCTCTCTTCCTTGTCACTCCAGGTGTCCATCACAGCGCTCTCCTGATCTCCAGGGGAATTACAGAACCCCCCACACACCACGCCCACTTCCTCTCTGGCCCCTCCCCCTCAGAATCACCCACAGCAGACTTGCTAATGCCCCCCCCCAACTTTTTTTTTTTTGAGATAGAATTTCCCTCTGTCACCCAGGCTGGTGTCCAATGGTGCGATCTTGGCTCACTACAACCTCTGCCTCCCGGGTTCAAGTAATTCTTCTGCCTCAGCCTTCTGAGTAGCTGGGACTAGCGGCACATGCCACCATGCCCAGCTAATTTTGTGTTTTTAGTAGAGACGGGGTTTCACCATACTGGCCAGGCTGATCTCGAACTCCTGACCTCATGATCCGCCCGCCTTGGCCTCCCAAAGTGCTGGGATTACAGGCGTGAGCCGCCACGCCCGGCCGCCAGTGCCCTCTTGGTGACCTCCCTCTCGTTTCCTGCACCTTGCCCTCGTGTCCACCCCAGTCTGCGGCCTCACGTCATGGCTTGGTAGATGGACTCGACGCCGTAGCGCATGGCAAACTCGTCCACAATCTCCTGGGCTGTCTCATCGTAGTAAACCTTCCAGGCGTCGTCGCCTTTGGCATCCGGGATCTTCACAACCCCGTTGTTCTGCACATCCGTCACGAAGTGGAAGAGGTTCTGCCACCATGGGGGAGAAGGCATCATCATGGAGAGTGCAAGGGGTCACCAGGGCTCAGAGGTCCTAGCGTCCGGGGCCCCTTACATCATACACCTGCTTGTTTACTCATTAATTCATTCATCTACTCTCATCCATCCACGCACCCACCCATCTAACTACCCCAAATTTCACCCATTCACTCTTCCAACCTTTCAGTAATTTAACCATCCATCCATCCATCCACCCATCCATCCACCCACCCACCCACCCATCCGTCCATCCGTCCATCCGTCCATCTGTCCATCCACCCACCCACCCATCCAGCCATCCATCCACCCATCCAGCCATCCATCCACCCGTCCACCCATCCGTCCGTCCGTCCGTCCATCCGTACGTCCACCTGTGCACCTACCCACCCACCCACCCATCCATCCATCCACCCATCCAGCCATCCATCCACCTATCCACCCGTCCATCTGTCCATCCGTCCATCCGTCTGTCCGTCCGTCCGTCCGTCCGTCCGTCCGTCCGTCCTCCCACCCACACACCCATCCATCCATCCACCCACCCGTCCGTCCATCTGTCCGTCCACCCGTTCACCTGTCCACCCCTCCATCCGTCCACCCGTCCATCCGTCTACCCGCCCACCCATCCATCCATCCACCCACCCGTCCATCTGTCCACCCACCCACCCATCCGTCCATTCGTCCATCCGTCCACCCATCCACCCATCCACCCATCCACCCACCCACCCATCCATCCATCCACCCATCCATCCATCCACCCACCCACCCACCCATCCATCCATCCATCCACTCATCCACCCATCCACCCATCCATCCCATACATTGATCCATAGCTTAATCCACCTGTCCAATCATTCATTCTTCCATAAACCAGCCATCCGTCTAGCCATCAACTTACCACCCATCCATCTATGCATCTACTCTTCATCTGTCCACCAACTACTCACAACCATCCGTCTATCTAAATGCTCAAAAATTATGAACCCACTTTTCAATACTTTCAATAATTCAACCACACGTCCTTCCATACATCCACCCACCCACCCATTCATCCATCCGTCTGTCCATCCATCCATCCATCTACCTATCTACCCATCCAACTATCAACAAGTTCACCTATCTACTCATCCTTCCTTCTAATAATTCAACCACACATCCACCCATCTCATCCAATACAGCTTAACGTTCTCATCCAACAACTCATCTATCCACCCATTCAATCATCTGTCCACCAATCTATCTATCCACCTATCAAGTTATCCATCTATCATCTATCCAATTACCCCAAAATTCACCCTGCACTTCCAACAGTTGAATCACATATCCATCCATCTGTCCATCTATCATCCATCTAGTCACGAATCTACCCATCAACTCATCTATCTCTCCATCCATCCTTTTATCTACCTCATCACTCATTCATTTATTCAGTCATTCACTCATTCACCAGCATTCATTCAACAAACTAGTTCCTGGGGATAGAGTTGTTTCCAGGAACCCCCAGGCAGCCAGAAGAGACATACCCAGACACAAACAGCCCAATCCTGAGTGGTTAGGGCTGGAACAGAAGGAAGAATCTGATGGTGTGTATGAGAGGCAACCTGGAGGCCAAGGAAGGCTTTCCAGAGGAGGCAACCCTAAATCTGGACCTTGATGGATATAAAGGGAATGGCATGGTGGGCAGTCTCAGAGGGCCAGGAGAGTGTGGACAGTGTGGCCAGAGAGAGGAAGGGCGGGAAGAAATGGTGAGTGGAGGTGGCATGGGAGGGGCTGAGCAATGAGGCTCACCTCGTGCAGACAGGTGTACTGGACGTGATACGGGGCCACCTTCTCCTCGCCTTTGATCTCCACACTGATGTGGAGCCGGATGGCGCCAGACACGGCAGATTTGTCAGTTCGCTTGTCTGTGGGGCAGAAAAGGATGACCAGCGTCAGAACCTCTCACTATAGCTGTGGGCAATTTTTAATAGATGCATGATTCCGTAGTCCTCCCAGACCTCCGGAAACTAAGGCCTGGGTGTCTCTCTTCCGATTGGCTCCCTAGGCTTGAGTCTCTCTGCTTAGGCTAGAATTCCTGAAGCCCTGTTTCTCCCTTCAAACAAGGATCCCAGGCCTCGCTTCTTCACTCAGATTAAGTTCCTGGGTGTGTGCCTCCCTCCTTAGACTAGCAGCCCTAGAGCCTGCTTCTTGCCCAGTCTGAGCTCCCAGGACCTGCCTCCCCCATCAAATCACACTCCCCAGAAACTACACATCTTAGACACGGTTCCTGGGTCCGTGCCTCTCTCCTTTGACTAGGACCCCCAGATCTTGTCTCCTGTCTCCCCCATCAGAATGGGATATGTAGATTTCTTCGAACCTAAGAGATTTCTGGGCTCCACTCAACCCTCTCAGGCTGGGTCTTTTCTACCCCTTCAGATTAGGTTCATACACTCTGCCTCATTAGATTGGACTCCCCAGATTCTACTCATTTTCTTTTTGTTTTTTCTCTTTCCTTTTTTTCTGAGATGGAGTCTCGTTCTGTAGCCCAGGCTGGAGTGCAGTGGTGCGATCTCAGCTCACTGTGACCTCTGCCTCCCGGGTCCCAGTTCAAGCAATTCTCCTACCTCAGCCTCCCAAGTAGCTAGGATTACAGACATGAGCCACTACGCCCAGCTAATTTTTGTATTTTTTAGTAGAGATGGGGTTTCACCATGTTGTCCAGTCTGGTCTTGGAACTTCTGACCTAGTGATCCACCCACCTTGGCCTCCCAAAGTGTTGGGATTACAGGTGTGAGCCACTACGCTGGCTTTTTTTTTTTTTTTTTTTTTTTTGAGATGGAGTCTAGCTCTGTCACCAGGCTGGAGTGCAGTGGTGCAATCTTGGCTCACTACGACCTCTGCCTCCCAGGTTCAAGCAATTCTCCTGCCTCAGCCTTCCAAATAGCTGGGATTACAGGCACATGCCACCACGCCGGGCTAATTTTTGTATTTTTAGTAGAGACAGGGTTTCGTCATGTTGGACAGTCTGGTCTTGAACTCCTGACCTCAAGTAATCTACCCACCTCTGCCTCCCAAAGTGTTGGGATTACAGGTGTGAGCCACTGCACCTGGCCGTATTTGTTTTTTGAGAAAAGGTCTCACTCTGTTCCCCAGGCTGGAGTGCAGCAGTGCAATCACAGCTCACTGCAGCCTTTATCTCTCAGGCTCAGGTGATCCCCACACCTTAGCTTCCAGAGTAGCTGGGACTATAGGTGTGTGTCACCCTGCCCAGCTAATTTTTCTATCTTTTATAGAGACAGGGTTTCACAATGTTCCCCAGGCTGGTCTCAAACTCCGGGACTCAAGTGATTAGCCTGCCTCAGCCTTTCAAAATGATAGGATTACAGATGTGAGCCACTGCCCAGTGCCCCCAACCTGGATTCTTTCTTTTTTCTGGAGATGGAATTTTGCTTTTGTCGTCCGGGTTGGAGTGCAGTGGTGTGGTCTTGGCTCACTGCAACCTCCGCCTTCCAGGTTCAAGCGATTCTCCTGCCTTTGCTTCCTGAGTAGCTGGGACTACAGGTGCCCACCACCATGCCCGGCTAATTTTTGTATTTTTAGTAGAGATGGGGTTTAACCATGTTGGCCAGGCTGGTCTCGAACTCCTGACTTCCGGTGATCCGCCCACCTCCGCCTATCAAAGTATTGGGATTACAGGTATGAGCCACTGCACCCAGCCCCAGCTTGGATTCTTAAAGCTCAATCTTCTTTCTTTGATTTGGTTTATAGGTCTGTGCCTCTCCCCTCAGACTAGGATTACCAGGTCTTGCTTCCTGCCTCCCCCATTAGACTGGGACACGGAGATTCTGTCCCTGCCCTCCCTTGTAAGCTGAGCTATGAAATTCCTGGGCTCTGCTGACCCTCCCTGCCTGGGTGCTTTCTGCCCCCATCAGATTGGGCTCCTAGACCCTGCCTCCCCCATCAGATCATGCTCCTTGACCAAACTTTTCTTGAGAATGCTTCTCTCCCCTCTTCATGGGGTCCACGCTCTGGCTGGATCCCTGGGACCCATCCCCACCCCTTTCAGAACCCGGCTTCTCTCACCCAGGTTGTACCACACGTCCATCTCGCCGCTGAGCGTCCGCACCTCAATGATCGTCTGCCCCAGGAAATCGTCAGATTCCCTCTTGAACCTCTGTTTCACACGGGATTTGATGTCATCATCCTCGTCCCAGACGCGCACCTTGATGCGGTCGGAGGAATTGTGACATTCACTGTGGCGGGAGGAGGAGGCAGGGGCGGGGGTCAGGCGGCCAGCGTGAGTCCTGTCTTTGGAGCCCCCTTTCGGCTGCCCCAGCAGGGAGCCCCGTACGGGCCCAGGGACCCAGCCAGGCACTTACAAGTGGAAATTCTCCTCCCACACCGGGTTGAGGTTCCCATAGATGGTTTTTGTCCGTTTCTTGGTCTTCCCGACTTGGACGGTGACATAGGGGTCACTGGATCCCGTCTTGTCCTTTGCCTGCAAGCCCTGGGCGCAGACCACTGGAAGACACAGAGGGCGTACACAGGCGTGTACTCAAGGAGCGAGGCATGCTGGGGCAGTCGCTGCCACACACTTCAGGCTGATAACTGGGACACCTGCAGCATGGCTGGAGAGCAATGGCAGGCACGCTGGACTTGCTAAAGAGGTTTTTTGTTAGTTTGTTTTTGAGATGGAGTTCGCTCTTGTCACCCAGGCTGAAGCGCAGTGGCTTGATTTTGGCTCACTGCAACCTCTGCCTCCTGGGTTCAAGCGATTCTCCTGCCTCAGTCTCCCAAGTAGCTAGGATTACAAGCGTGGGCCACCATGTCCGACTAATTTTTTTTTTTTTTTGCATTTTTAGTAGAGATAGGGTTTCAGCATGTTGGCCAGGCTGGTCTTGAACTCCTAACTTCAGGTGATCCGCCCGCCTCAGCCGCCCAAAGTGCTGGGATTACAGGCGTGAGCCACCGTGCCTGGCCTTGGTAGGGAGTTAACAAGGAGGGAGCACCCAACCCATGAAGGATGGGAAGGTGCCTCAGCCCCCCTTGCGCATGGTTGGGACCTCTTTCAGGTGTGAGCTCTCCGAGGTCGTACACCCAGAAGAACCCATTGTCCCCGCGATCTCCTGCTCGTTGGCGCCCCCTGCAGGGTGCCTTCCCTCCCTGACTCGCCACCCCAGCTTCATCCTGGGGTCGTTTCCTGGATAACCCACATACCCTGAAATCCTCATCCTCGGATCTGTTTATGGGTAAAATCCACATGAGTCTGGGTGTGGAGAAATACTAGTATCCTCGCCCCTGAGTGGGGCCACAATGAGCTGCATGAATGACCCCACGATGGGCTGAGCTGGTGGCCTACAGCATGGTCTGCCCCACGGTATCTCCTCCAGGGCACCTTCCACCCCTGTCTCAAGTCCTTGCCCCTCACCAGGGCTTTCTGGGGTCACTTTCCAGATAAACTATGCACCCACAATTCCTCTTCTTGGGGTCTCATTCTGGAGGGCACCATCCAAGATGCACCCAGACACAGCCTCATGAACAGGCATTTGGAGGTACACACGTCCCCCCATATGCGTGCACACACGGACATGGGATGGAATGGACGAGATCGAGGACTTGCTGCAAAGGAGAGGTACAGGCCTCAGTGGGTGGAGAAGGAGGGGCCCTGTGGCGGCCCCCACCCCCTCACCAGTGATGCTGATCTTGGCGGACCACTTGGATGTGCCGTCCAGCACGCTCTGCTTGACCGCCTTCATCTGCTGTGTGTGCGCCGTCTTGGTCACTGCGAAGATCTCCTGGATGAGCTCGAAGATCTCAGGTTTGTTGCGCTCCCGGATCTTCATGCGGTCCTTGAGCACCATGATGATGTTTTGCGTCCGGTCCTCCGCCCCGTGCTTGGAGCTCTTCTCCGCGGCTCCTGCGGACGCCAGAGGCCGGCGCTGACCCCAGCGCGCCTGCCCTGTGGCCCCTCACCAGGGCGAGAGCCCCGCCCCATTCATCAACCGCGGGGGCTCCGGTGTCACCCCTGAAGCCAGTTTCCTGCCTGCTGTCTGTACCACCCATCCAGACCCCTTCACCTTTCCGACTCCAGGCTCCTCTGAGTCCCCACGACCCTGAGTCCTGCCCTTCTCTACCTTCCGCCTCTCGGAGTCCCCACAGGATTTTGGAGCCCCTAAGCCCCACCCCTCGAAGTCCCCGCCCCCTCTCTGAGCCCCACGCCTCTGAGTCCCCGCCCCCTCTGAATCCCACCTCTCTGAGCCCCACCCCCTCTCTGGGCCGTACCCCTCTGAGTCCCCACCCCCTCCCTGAGCCCCACTCCTGAGTCCCCGCCCGCTCTCTGAGCCCCACTCCTGAGTCCCCGCCCCCTCCCTGAGCTCCACCCCCTGAGTCGCCGCCCCCTCTGAATCCCACCTCTCTGAACCCCACCCTCTCTCTGGGCCCTACCCCTCTGAGTCCCCACCCCCTCCCTGAGCCCCACTCCTGAGTCCCCGCCCCCTCCCTGAGCCCCACCTCTCCGAGTCCCCGCCTCCTCTGAATCCCGCCTCTCTGAGCCCCACTCCTCTGAATCCCCTCCCCATCTCTGATCTCCACTCCTGTGAGTCCCTTCCACATCTCCGAGCCCCTACCTTCCCTGATACCCCTCCGCCTTCCAACCCCCTCCTCCACAGTCCTCTCTCAGTCTGAGCCCCTCCCTTCTCTGAGCCCCTCTTCCAGAGCTACCCCTAGCTAACCCATTTCTATCCAGGGGAGCCGCCTCTTCTCACTAAGCCTGTCCTTTGCACCACCTCGCTCGTCCCTGAGCCCTCCCCCATCCCTCTCTGACACCCTCGCAGCTTCTTTCCCCATCCCTCGCCGCCCTGGCCCTTTCCCCGGGGAGTCCTGCCCCTCCAGCCCCACCCCTCCCCTTCAGCGGGACGCTCCCTTGCCCCGCGACGCCCCGCCCCTTGCCCCGCCCCCTCCCCACCTCATGGCCCCGCCCATCTTCTCGCTCCTCCAGCCTTTCCTCCCACGCAAGCCGCGGCGCTCCCCACGCCCACCCGCAGGCCTGAGTTCGGGCCCTGCGCTCACGCTGCAGGCAGTCGGCGTTGAGCAGGTCCTGGCACTTCTCGTGGCACTTGACGCCGCACTCGGTGCAGCGCATGCCCTGCCTGGCGATGCCCCACAGCAGCCCCTCGCACTCGTAGCAGTAGGTGGGCGTGGTGGCCGTCCACACCTCGAAGTTGTGCGGCGTCGTGCATGAGATGGGATAGATTAAGGCTTGCAGGGTCTTCTTGTAAACGTGGTTTTTCTGCAGGGAGGGAGGGGTGCGCTTTGGGGCCCTAACCTGGTGCTGTCCGTCTTGCCCGCCTCGGCCCCAGCACTGAGCGCGGTAAAGTCCCAGACCCTCCCTGCCTCCACGCTGTCGCAATCCAGGCTGCCTCCTCTTCCCAGGGAGCCACAGAGGCTTGGACTCTTCCAGAATCTCCCAGCCCAGTCCATCTCTGACCCCGGGAAAAAGAGGTGCCCCACATACCAGCTCCTCGTTGTTCAACGTGCTGGAGGCCAAGGCCGAGGTGATGCCCGCTTTCCTGGACTGGACCAGGGACTAGGGAGGTCACAGAAGAGGGAGTCGGGGGGTTGACATCCATGAGATCACCACCAGGAGGGTTCACAGCCACACATGGGGCCCGAAGCCATATTTTGGAGCCGCAACCACAAATTGGAAACAGGTCACCGACAGCATCCGGGCCAGACCCAGCAAAGAATTAGGAGGTGATGGAGACTTTGAGTTAGAAGGGACCCTGGAAAGTGAGCAGCCCCACACCCCGACTCACAGCCTCCAACACAGAGGGAGAAGGCAAGGTTCCACCAGAAACCATGAATTGGGGGCCTGTTACAAGATCCCCCTAGGGGATTTTGGGGAGAAGACCCCAAGGGGCCCACGTCACCATCACTCACCATGGCCTGAAGTGTCCACGCAGCACGTGGGGGTAGAAATCAGACTACATTAGACTCAGAGAATGCCTAGCTAGCCCCCAAACCCAGGTTGACCATGGGCAGTTGTACAGGCTGCACACTGCTTATAGCAGGCCTGCTCTGCTCGGGGAGTAAAGTGGGTGGGTGCTTACCAGGTCACTCACGAGCGGGATGGGTTTCCTCTTGCGGATGTCTGGCATGCTGTCGATGATGATGAGACCGCCCCCTGGGCTGCAAGACACAGAGGGACATTGAGGGCCCAGACGTCCCTATTCCTCACACAGACATCACTTGAGGCGTGGGGAGAATGCTCAGCCTCCCCGGGTGTTAAGGGGTTGAATTGAGTCCCGCAAAAAAAAAAAGATATGTTGATTCCTTAACCCTCACTACCTCAGAAGGCGACCTTATTTGGAAATGGGTTGTCACAGATGTCATTAGTTAAGATAAGGTCATATGGGGCTAGGGTAGATGCTTCATCTAATATGACTGGTGTCTTTAGAAGAGAGAGGTGGAAAGAAGGTGTCTGCGTGGCAACAGAGGCAGAGAGTGATGATCTGCAAACAAGTATCTACTTGGTGACTAAGGATTTCAGGCAAACACCAGAAGCTAAAAGAGACAGGGGAGGAATTCTCTTCTAGATTCCAGAGGGAGCATAGCCTGACCAACCAACGCCTTCATTTCAGACTTCTGACCTCCAGAACTGTGAGGCCAAATGCTACTGTGGTTTTAAGCCACCAGTCTATGGTACTTTGTGATAGCAGTTCTAAGAAACGGAGACACCAGGCCTCAACCTCCGCATCTGAAAAATGGGGAGATGATGGAGTTGCCCACCTTGAATGAAAACGTGAATTAAGGCAAACCTAAGTTATATACTAAAATATAGATGAGATCTTTCTTTTTTTCGAGACAGAGTCTCGCTCTGTTGCCCAGGCTGGAGTGCAGTCCTGAGATCTCAGCTCACTGCAGCCTCCTGAGTTCAAGCAATTCTCGTGCCTCAGCCGCCCAAGTAGCTGGGATTACTGTCACACACCACCACACTGGGCTAATTTTTGTATTTTTAGTGGAGAAGGGGTTTCACCATGTTGGCCAGGCTGGTCTTGAACTCCTAACCTCAGGTGATCCACCCACATTGGCCTCCCAAAGTGCCGGAATTACAGGCATGAACCACGGCGCCTGGTCCACACCCGGATAATTGAAAAAAAATTTGGACTAGGTGCAATGGCTCATGCCTGTAATCCCAGCACTTTGGGAGGCAGAGGCGGGCAGATCACCTGAGGTCGGGAGTTCAAGACCAACTTGACCAACATGGGGAAACGCTGTCTCCACTAAAAATACAAAAATTAGCTGGGTGTGGTGGTGTATGCTTGCAATCCCAGCTACTTGGGAGGCTGAGGCAGAAGAATCGCGTGAACCCGGGAGGTGGAGGTTGCAGTGAGCCAAGCGCCGTTGCACTCCAGCCTGGGCAACAAGAGCAAAACTCCATCTCAAAAAAATTTTTTTTTTTTGTTACCCAAGCTGGTCTTGAACTCCTAGTCTCAAGCGAATCTCCAGCCTCACCCTCCCAAGCATGCACCACCAAACCCGGCTAATTTTTGTAGTTGTAGAAGAGACGGCATTTTGCCATGTTGGGCAAGCTGGTCTTGAACTCCTGACCTCAGGCGATCCACCTGCCTCAGCTTCCCAAAGTGCTGGGATTACAGACGTGAACCACCACACCCGGCCCCAAAAGTCTCTCATTGGCCAATGAGATAGGTGCCTGCAGCCAATGACTCCAGACAAGCCCACAGGGCCATTCCTGCTACCAAGCTTTCTGCAGGAGTCGACTGAGGCTTAGAGACGCCTAAGCCACATCTTTTCTCGGTGGCCTCCCCTAGTCTGACAGCTTTCTCCTGAGAGAAATATCCTTCATAAATCAGGTGCACAGAAATCCCCATTTCAGGCCCTGCCTCCAGGCTCTCTAGCTAGGGCACCTGCTCATTTATTTAGGAGTGCCAGCTGCTGCCTCCCTGCCTGTCTGCAAAGGGTGTACAAGGAAGGTCACTATCGTGCTGCTATTTTAAAACCTGAGCATATTTTAAAAATATCTTGTGCATCCTCTAACCTGAAAATCCCTAACATAAGAAGTTAGATGTGATCACATGCCCCACTGAAGAATAAACAACTATCTTTAATCAAGAGCCCTCACTGTAGCAATAATTAGAGAGATTTAAAAATAGATTCAAAGCAAAAAACTTTGCTCTGGGATTACAAATATATAGTGTATATTTCCCAATAATGTCTAGTTCCTAATAGTGTCTGCTTTATATTGCATTTATTTATTTGTTCATTTTGGAGACAGTGTCCCTCGCGGTTGCCCAGGCTGGCGTGCAGTGGCGCAATTTCAGATCACCGCAACCTCTGCCTCCTGGGTTCATGCAATTCTCCTGCTTCAGCAACCCAAGTAGCTGGGATTACAGGTGCCTGCCACCATGCCTGGCTAATTTTTGTATTTTTAGTAGAGACGGGGTTTTACCGCGTTGGCCAGACCGGTTTCAAACTCCTGACCTCAAATGATCCTCCTGCCTCAGCCTCCCAAGGTGCTTGGATTATGGGCATGAGCCAGGGCACCTGGCCCTGTCTTCAAAGATGACTGCCTTTTGCATCTGCATCTGGTTGTGTGCCTTAGGAAATTGACATATTGTGCCCAAGCTCAATCTGTCCCCCGTCTAAATGACCCCTCCCCATCCTCTCTGGGCTGAGGCTCAGGCACAAACCAGCCTTGAGCTCAGCTCGGGGTTCAAAACTTCCTCCCACCACTCACAGCTCATCACTTACCCGCCTTTGAACCACAGAGATTTGGACATCTCTCCTTCTCCCCGGGCCTGCAGGACAGACAGACAGATACGGGCAGTGTGGTCGTCCCTCCCCTCCCCACAGCAGGCTCCACACCCACTTCTGATCCCCTCTGGGCTGGGAGTCAGATGGCCTGGGTCCTAGTCCTGGCTGAGTGATCTTAGGAAGCTCCCTGGTTATCTCTGGCCTTAGTTTGCTCATCTGTAAGATGGGCTGGGGGAGAAAGAAGAGCCTCTCTTTCACCTACCTCAATGGATCTCAGTCTCTTCATTGGTTACCCTTAAACTCCCTACAGTCTCACAGTCTCACTTGTTCATCTGCTCTCGTGCCCCGGGCCCCTTCCAGGAGTTGTGACTTTAGCTTGTATGCGCCCTTACCTTCTGCACCCACCCAACCAGCCTCTGTTTATCATTCAGGTCTCAGCCAGACTCAGGGTCCACACCCCCTACCTTCCCTCCATCTTGTAACTAAAGAGTTAACACGGGAGTCCTTTCGGGGGAGAGGGAAGCATTCTTCTGTTCTGAAATATTGAGGGGGTGTTTGATTTTTTTTAAAGACAGAATCTTGCTATATTGCCCAGACTGGTCTTGAACTCCTGGCCTCATACGATCTTCCTGCCTCAGCCTCCTGAGTAGCTGAGACTACAGGTTTGATCCACCCCACATGGCTCCTGAAATATTTTTTCCTTTTTTTTTAGAGACGAGGTCTCACTATGTTGCCCAGGCTGGTCTTGAACTCCTGAGCTCAAGTGATCCTCCTGCCTTGACCTCCCAAAGTGCTGGGATTACAGACGTGAGCTCCTGAAATATTGTTGAAATATTTTGAACATCAGTTTTCCTTAAGTGTCATCTCCTCCAGGGATTTTGCCTGATTGCCCTGGATTAGTTTTGTGCTTTTCCTATGAAACCCAGAGAGCCCTCCATGTTTCTTTTTCTTGTCGTATCACTAGTTCCATAGTTTGTTTTTCTTGTATATTGCCAGTTCTATAGTTTATTTTTCTTGTCATATCACGTAGTTCCAATAGTAGCTGCTATTTGTTTAATTTAATTTGCTGACCTAGTAAAAGTTATCCAGAAGCCTTTTTCACTGTGTACTCTTCATCTTTCTAATTTAGAACCATATGTCAATATCGCTGAGTCAAAAAACAGATTTCTCTTTTAAGGGTTTTCATTTCATTTCATTTTGTTTTGTTCTTTTAGTCAGAGTCTCATTCTGTCGCCCAGGCTGGAGTGCAATGGCACGATCATGGCTCACTGCAACCTCCGCCTCCTGGGTTTAAGCAATCCTCCTGCCTCAGCTTCCTGAGTAGCTGGGATTACAGGCACCTGCCACCACGCCCAGCTAATTTTTGTATGTTTAGTGGAGATGGGGTTTCATCATGATGGCCAGGCTGGTCTCTTAGCCAGGCTAGTCTTGAACTCTTGACCTTATGATCCTCCCACCTCAGCCTCCCCAAGTGCTGGGACTACAGGTGTGAGCCACTGAGCCTGGCGACTGGATTTCTGTTTTAAACTAATAAGAAGTTTTGTTTGGTACTTCTGTGGCCCTGATATTTGATGGTTTAAGCCTCTGGGAGGTCTGTTTAGAATCTCCTCCTGCCAGTCCCACTGCAGTTTGGAGGGTAACCCTGAAGAGTGACCCTGCTGTCCCCAGCCCAGGGTGAGCTGAATGAAGGAATAAATGAATGGCCTCCACCCTGCTGCCCATCTGAACGGTCACCCAGCCCTAATGTTAATTTTTTCCTGATTCTTACTCCCCTACTGACCCAGCAGCAGACCTTTCCCTAACCCTGACAATGACCTCCAATTTGACCCTAAGCACTGACCCCTTTGCCTGACACCGATTGTAACCCTGACCTCTGATCTTTGATGGCTGAACTGACCCTGACCTTGATCCCTAACCATGACTTCAGCCCTATTTCAATCTGTTTTCTCTCCTCCCTCTTGACTTAGAAAGCCCAGGCTGACAATGGGGAGAAGGCTGTGCTGGGGATGGGTGGGACCAGACTTGGCGTGGGGTTTGGGAGTGAGCATAACCCGGCTGGTGTGGATGGGCCATAGGGATGCCCTGGGCCGCGTGTGCACGGGGCTAAGGAAGGGTCAGGGTGGGCGGGGTATGGGCAACATTAGGCGTGGCCAGGATGAGTGATGGTGGAGCCAGGGAAGGGCTCCAGTGGCGGGGCATGGGCACAGTGTGGGCACTGCACTGGGCAGGCCCAGGCTGGGCTTGGGTACCAGTTGGGTGTTGGGCGTGGCCAATCTAGGTGTGGGTGTGGCCAAACCATGCGTGGGCGTGGAATTGGGTTTGGCCTGGCTGGACGTGGCCAGGACGTGGCCGGGACAGGGCCAGGCCTATCACTCACCTCCTGCAGCTGCATCCGCACCTTGTTGAAGGCACGCAGCCAGTTGGCTTTGGCCCTGGACATGGAGTCCTGCCCCTCCTGGCCTTCCTCATCCTCTCTCGGCCTGAAACTGAGGCAGGGAACCCTATGAAGCTCCGGGCTGGCTCTCCATGACTCCTGCCCTTCCCTCAACCCTCCAGCTGTGCAAGCGATGCAGGCTCCTCATGGTACCTCTGACCCCTCAGAGACACTGGGACCCACCTGTGTCCCCTGGCCCGGCTCGGTGCCCCCACCCACTCCCACACACCCAATGCTTCTTTGACACTGTCACTGTTCCTCAGCTTCCTTGTCACCAGCCCAGCCCCTCTGGCCTCCCTTTTGCCCGAGATCTTGACCTCTCCGACCCCGGCAACCCCTAAGGTCACAACCTCTAAGACTCCTTCATGACTCCCCTGGACCCTCTTTGACCCCCTACTCTGCCCTGTCGCTTCTGATCCCTTTAAGAAACCCAAGGCCCTGTGACATCTTCAGCCCAGGCAACTACCTGGGTCCATGCCAACCCCATCATAGCGCTGCTGACTCTGTGACCTTGAGGCAGCCCCTCGGCCCCTTGGCCCCTCCTGTTACCTCTCCTCGGCCTTGGGGGGCTCAGGTTCAGGAATTTCCTCGGCCGCAGGCACCTCGTCGGGTGTGGCTGGCTTGGGGGCTACCTTAGCCATGTCGGGGGCCTCGGTGGGTGCCACTGGGGCCTTGTCCTCCTTCCCCGGGGCAGCCGGTGGGAGGCTGATGCGCTTGAAGTCTTTGGGCTCAGCCACAGCCACCTCTTCACGCTGGGCATAGCTGCCCAAATCATCAGGCACCTCCTCCTCCTCCTCCAGCTCCTCCTCATCTTCAGGAAGCCCCTCCTCCTCCAGGAAGTCCTCCAGGTCCTCATCCAGCTCCTCCTCATCCTGGTCCCAGCGAGGTGAGTCTTTGTGGTAGCTGACTGAGCTGTGGCAGGAGTGGTAAGAGTCCCGGTCCCGCTCATCCTCCATCTCAGAGCCCTGCAGGCTGTGCTCGTCAGGGTCAAAGTCCTCACTCAGCTGTGAGCTTCCCTGGCTCAGCTCCCCGGAGGAGGCGTAGCGGCTGCTGCCCGTGGGGCTGTGGGGATGGGACAGCGGTTAGGGGTTGGGGTTATGAGTCGCTGCCCACCTGAGCCTCGTTCACACATGCATTCACTCAGCACCAATTGAGCACCTACTGTGTGCCAGGCCCTGCTCTAGGGGCCGGAACACATAGCCATGATCAGAAAGGACAAAAATCCCACGCCTGTAATCCCAGCACTTTGGGAGGCCGAGGCGGGCGAATCACCTGAGGTCAGGAGTTCGAGACCAGCCTGGCCAACATGGTGAAACCCCATCTCTACTAAAAATACAAAAATTAGCCAGGTGTGGTGGTGTGCACCTGTAATCCCAGCTACTCGGGAGGCTGAGGCAGGAGGATCACTTGAACCCGGGGGGCAGAGGTTGCAGTGAGCCAGGATCACGCCACTGCACTCCAGCCTGGGCGACAAGAGTGAAACTCCGTCTCAAAAAAGAAAGAAAGCGAAAAGTTTGTGTGGCATCTTTGGTCTGTGGGGGAAAGGCAATAGGCTATGCTGGAAGCTCAGGGTCAGCGTCATCATCACCGTGCCACAGCAGGTCTCCTGGCCGCCACCTCAAAAAAAGTCTGGGAAATGCATCCACTTCCCAGTGCCCTGGCCCCCATCCCAGGCCAGCCTCTGCTGTCTCCACGGTTCTCACTACCCTTGGAAGCCACAGGGAATGATAAATCCAATCACCTCCCTCCTCTGCTCTAAATCCGACCATAGCTCACTAGTGCCTCGGTATAAAATCTGTGCTAGCCCTGTGTGGCCCTTACCCTCCAAATTCCAAACTTGCCCTGCCTATCTCCCTCCACTTCCCCCCACCTCCTCCATTCCAGCCACACCAGCCTTGTAGCCTCTCCAATACCATTAGCCTGGGCACTTGCTGTGGTCTCTTCCTTGCCTGTTTTTTTTTTTTTTTTTTTTTTTGAGACGGAGTTTTGCACTTGTTGCCCAGGCTGGAGTACAATGGCGCAATCTCGGCTCACCACAATCTCTGCCTCCCGGGTTCAAGTGATTCTCCTGGCTCAGCCTCTCGAGTAGCTGGGATTACAGGCACGCACCACCACGCCAAGCTAATTTTTGTATTTTTGGTAGAGACGGGGTTTCATCATGCTGGCCAGGTTGGTCTCGAACTCCTGACCTTGTAATCTGCCTGCCTCGGCCTCCCAAAGTGCTAGGATTACAGGCTACAGGCGCGAGCCACTTTTGAGATGAAGTTTCGCTCTTGTTACCCAGGCTGGAGTGCAGTGGCGCGATCTCGGCTCACCACAACCTCCGCCTCCTGGGTTCAAGCGATTCTCCTGCCTCAGCCTCCTGAGTAGCTGGGATTACAGGCACGCGCCACCATGCCCAGCTAATTTTTTTTTTGTATTTTTAGTAGAAACAGGGTTTCTCCATGTTGGTCAGGCTGGTCTCGAATTCTTGACCCCAGGTGATTTGCCCACGTCGGCCTTCCAAAGTGCTGGGATTACAGGCATGAGCCATGCACCGCACCGGGCCTTTGTCTGCTTTATCTAGCAAACTCCTACCCATCCTGCACCCACTGAAACATCACTTACTTGTGTGACTGCCCCCCACTCTCTGGCCAGGTCAGGCCCTCTGTTACATGCTCCTTATATGAACCCAGGATCATGCTCGATGTCACCAGAAAGAAATATCTGTCTCTGTCCAAGTGCAGGCAGGAGGACATAGGTGCCGCCACTCAACCCTCTTCTAACCATTCACTTAGTCACTCAACAAACCTTATCATTTCCTGATTAGAAACCTCCTCCAATCTCAGTGCCCGGGACCCCCTTCCCTGGCCAGCCTCGGGGAAGCTACAGGAATAAAAGTGGGGTTCAAGACCAGCCTGGGCAATGTGGCAAGACTCCCGTCTCTAGAAAACATAAAAATAAGTTAGCTTGGTATGGTGGCCCGTGCCTGTAGCCCCAACTACTGGGGAGGCTGAGATGGGAGGATCGCTTGAGTCCACGAGCCCAAGGCTGCAGTGAGTCATGATGGTGCCACTGCACTCCAGGCTGGGCAGCAGAACAACATCTTGTCTCGCAAAAAATAAAAAAGTCTCACTCTATCATCCAGGCTGGCCCACTGCAGCCCTGATCTCTCAGGCTCAAGCCATCCTCCCACCTCAGCCTCCTGAGTAGCTGGAACCACAGGTACATACCACCATGCCTGGCTAATTTTTGTATTTATTGTAGTGACGGGAGGTCTCACGTTATTGCCCAGGCTGGTCTTGAACTCTTGAACTTAAGCGATCCTCCCACCTCAGCCTCCCAAAGTACTTGTATTACAGGTGTGAGCTACCACACCAGGCTGCCTGTAGAATTTCCTTGCAAGCTTTTGTGTAAAGAAAGAGGCCGGGCGCTGTGGCTCAGCCCTGTAATCCTAGCACTTTGGGAGGCCGAGGCGGGTGGATCATGAGGTCAGGAGTTCGAGACCAGCCTGACCAACATGGTGAAACCCTGTCTCTACTAAAAACACAAAAAATTAGCCGGATGTGGTGGCGGGTGTCTGTAATCCCAGCTACTTGGGAGGCTGAGGCAGGAGAGTCACTGGGGCCCGGGAGGTGGAGGTTGCAGTGAGCCAAAATCATGCCATTGCACGCCAGCCTGGGTAACAGAGCGAGACTCTATCTCGGATAAATAAGTAAATAAATAAATAAAAACACAAAAATGCCCCAGGCGTCGTGGTGGGTGCCTGTGGTCCCAGCTACTCAGGAGCCTGGGGCAGGAGAATCACTTGAGCCTGGGAGGTGGAGGGTGCAGTGGGCCCAGATCTCGCCCCTGCCCTCCAATCTGGGTGAACAACAACAATAAAAAAGAACAGAAAAGAAAAGAAAAAAAAGGGAACCATTTTCACAAGAAAATGTAAATTCTGCTTTCCCGGAGCTCCACCTGCAGCTCCAGGCCCCCACCCCTCTCTCCACCCCAGGAGACACAGCAGGGCCGTCACGCGCACCCAGGCTGCACTCCCCGGCAGCTACCTGAGGGCCTGCGGCTCAGAGAACTCCTCGTAACTGTGCATGGAGTCACTGTAGGATTCCCGGGAACCCAGGGGTGGTGGCCGGACAGAATACTGGTGGACTGAGGCGTTGGGTTGCGACGTAGTATAATAGGGTGGCGGGATGCTGTTGCTCGTTTCGCTGCGGTAGTCACTGTCACGGTCATCCACTGCGCTGTCGGGGTCATCGTCTGGAAGAGAGAGGAGATATGGGAAGAGGGTGGGCAAGAGAGAGCGAGCACGCATGTGATGGGGGCCAAGACGGTTTCCCCGACTTAGGGTGCCGCTACCAAAGAAGAGAATTTTTTACTAGTATGGATAAAGAATTGTGGATTGTGTTAAGAGAGATACGGGCTTCAGAACAAAGGAGGTGAAAACCCTGCTTTGCCTTCCATGGGTCAAATTGGACTTATAGAGTCTAGGGGCTAGGGTAGGTCCTACAATGTGAAGAAAACAAAGACGAAGTAGAGGGCATCGTTCAGCTCAAATGTGAGGAACAACTTGGCTGAAGGTCAGGATCTCTGAACACGAGATGGGATTTCTTTCCACTGGGCAGTTAGTTTCCCATAACAGGAGTCACACGAACACTCGGGGAAGTTGGAGGAAGATCAGGAGTTCAAGATGGAGTGAATGCCCTTTAACCCTAGAGATTTCCTGATAGCTGAGGGTGAGGACCCCAGACCTGAAGTTACAGGTGCAGCACCCAGGAAGATGCTGTGATGTGGTTCTGTCTTTTTCAAAAGGATTAGATCCTTAGCTTGGCAAACTCACCACACACTAAGACTCTATTGCTAAAAGGGAATGTGGTAGAGTTGCCAAACTTCATGTTTAACGAGAACTAAAAGATATTTTAGTTTGGTTTCCTTAGAAAAAAGAACAGTTTGTTTTCTAAATCCTAAAAGAATTCCAATTCTAAAAGCAACATGTCTCGGGGGGGTGGTATAATTGGGGATTGTACATTTTCTTCTTTATTCTTTTCTGTACCTTCTGGAAAAAAAAAGATTTCAATAATGCCATCTTTTCTATTTTTTAAAATTTAAAAAAATAATAAAGTTATCTTTAAAAGTAAAGCAAAGGCCGGGCACAGTGGCTTACACCTGTAATCCCAGCACTTTGGGAGGCTGAGGTGGGCAGATCACTTGAACCCAGGAGTTCAAGACCAGCCTGGGCACCATAGCAAGACCTTGTTTCTACTAAAAATAAAAAAAAAATAGCCAGGGGTGGTGGCATGTGCCTGTAATCCCAGTTCCTTGGCAGGCTGAGGCAGGAGAATTGTTTGAACCCAGGAGACGGAGGTTGCAGTGAGTCAAGATCACACCTCTGCACTCTAGGCTGGGTGACACAGCAAGACCCTGTCTCCAAAAAATAAAATGCAAGTTAAAATAAAGAAAAATATAGTCCATGGGCCAGGCGCAGTGGCTCACACCTGTAATCCCAGCACTTTGGGAGGCCAGGGCAGGAGGGTCATGAAGTCAGGAGTTCGAGACCAGCCTCACCAATATGGTGAAACCCCGTCTCTACTAAAAATACAAAAATTGGCCAGGTATGGTGGTGCATGCTTGTAATCCCAGCTACTCGGGAGACTGAGGCAGAAGAATCATTTGAACCCGGGAGGCAGAGGTTGTAGTGAGCCAAGATCGCGCCATTGCACTCCAGCCTGGGCAACAAGAGTGAAACTCCGTCTCAAAAAAAAAAAAAAAAAAAAAAAAAAAAAAGCAAGCAAGCAAGAAAATATGAGAAATACAGAGAAGGGGAAGAGGAGGTTTAAAAAAATGAAGGAATTCCCAGACTCCAAACTCTCTGAGTAATGAATGAACTCTTCCGATTTTTGGTGCATTCAGGGTCTCTCTCACTTTGGGTGGAGTGCAATGGGGCGATCATAGCTCACTGCAGCCTCAACCTCCTGGGTTCAAGAGATCCTCCCACCTCAGCCTCCAGAGAAGGTGGGACCACAGGTACACACCACCACATCCAGCTCATTTTGTTTATTTATTTATTATTTTGTAGAGATGGGCTCTCCCTCTATTACCCAGGCTGATCTTGAACTCCGGGGCTCAAGCGATCCTCCCACCTCAGCCTCCCAAAGTGCTGGGCTCACAGGTGTGAGCCACTTTGACCAGATGGCATTCTTTCTACTGAATTGTCCTTGACCCGGCTGAGATGTTTCCGGTCAAACCGCATGAGGCTGTGCACGTGTTTACTAAGCCTTTTTTTTTTTTTCCCGATGAATTGTCTGCTTTTGAAAGGTCAGTTACTTGGCGTTGGAGTCTTTTTGCTTTCATCCAGGCTCTGCTTTCTACCAAGCAGTTCTTGACTAAATTGTCTGCTTCTGGCTATTTTCAACTACTTTTGTTTTGACCAAATGGTCTGATGTTTTCGGCTCAGTTGTCTTTCCTTTTTGACCCAAATATCTATCAGCTTTAGCTATATTGGTGTTTTTTGTTTTGTTTGTTGTTGTTGTTGTTGCTATTGTTGCGTTTTGTTGGAGATGGAGCCTCACTCTGTTGCCCAGGCTGCAGTGCAATGGTGTGATCTCAGCTCACTGCAACCTCCACTTCCCGGGCTCAAATGATTCTCCGGCCTCAGTCTCCCGAGTAGCTGGGATTACAGGCACACGCCACCATGCCTGGCTAATTTTTGTATTTTTAGTAGAGACGGGGTTTCGTTATGTTGGCCAGGCTGGTCTTGAACTCCTGACCTCAAGTGATCTACCTGCCTCGGCCTCCCAAAGTGCTGGGATTACAGGTGTGAGACGCCGTGCCCGGCCTGTCTTTGGTTTTGACCATACTAATTCGTTTGTGTCAAGTTGGTTGTTACCGAGCTTGCTCTGTCTGCCAAACATTCATTTTGGAGAAATTGAGTTTGTTATTTATTTAAATCTGTTTATTTTGTAGAGACAGGGTCTCATACTGTTTCCTAGGCTGAAATGCAGTGGCACAACCATGGCTCACTGCAGCCTTGACCTCTTGGGCTCAAGCAATCCTCCTGCCTCAGCCTTCTGAATAGCTAGGACTATAGGAGCGTATCACCACAACTGGCTTTTTTTTTTTTTAGAGATGGGGTCTCACTCTGTTGCTCAGGCTGATTTCAAACTTCAGGCGGGGATCAAGCGACCCTCAGACCTCAGCCTCCAGAAGTGTTCGGATTACAGGCGTGAGCCCGTGTGGCTGGCCTGAATTGATTTTTTTCTGAGACGAAGTTTTGCTTTTGTTGCCCAGGCTGGAGTGCAGTGGCGCAATCTCTGCTCACTGCAAGCTCCGCCTCCCAGGTTCAAGCAATTCTGCTGTCTCAGCCTTCCCAGTAGCTGGGATTGCAGGCACGCACCACCACACCCGGCTAATTTTGTATTTCTGGTAGAGATGAGGTTTATCCATGTTGGTCAGGCTGGTCTTGAACTCCTGACCTCAGGTGATCCACCTGCCTCGGCCTCCCAAAGTGCTGGGAGCCACTATGCCAAGCCTCTAGATTGATTTTTAACCAATTTGTTTTTGATAAATTGTGGTGGACCAAAGGGTTTGTCAACAGTTTCGCTGGTCCTGGAGTTAGGTTTGTCCACCAAGATATGAGAAAGAAGTGAAGAACTCCCCAGTTGGTGGAGGAGAGAGAAGGAGGCAGATTTATCCTTAGAAGAGAGGACTGGCCAGGCTCGGTGGCTCACACCTGTAATCCCAGCTCTTTGGGAGGCTGAGGTGGGTGGATCATGAGGTCAGGAGTTTGAGACCAGCCTGACCAACATGGTGAAACCCATCTCTACTAAAAATACAAAAATTAGCCAGGCATGGTGGTGAGTGCCTGTAGTCCCAGCTACTTGGGAGGCTGAGGCAGGAGAATCGCTTGAACCTGGGAGATAGAGGTTGCAGTGAGCTGTGATCGCACCGCTGTGCTCCAGCCTGGGCAACAGAGTAAGACTCTGTCTCAAAAAAGAAGAAGAATCTAACGCCTGATGATCTGTCAGTGTCCCCCGTCACCCCTAGATGGGACTGTTTAGATGCAGGAAAACCAGCTCAGGGCTCCCACTGCTTCTACGTGATGGTGAGTTGTATCATTATTTCATTATATACTGTAATGTAATAATAATAGAAATAAAGTGCAATAAGCTTGAATCATCCAGAAATCATCCCCCCTACCCCCTAGTCCATGGAAAAATTGTCTTCCATGAAACTGGTCCCTGGTGTCAAAAAGGTTGTGGACTGTTGTTAGGTAGAAAGATGGACATTTAATTTAGGGAGGGGGTGGCCTGCCTTCTTCCCTGCGAGAGCAAATGAAGGTGGGAGGTGACGTGTGAGTGTGGTTGGAGCCTGGGGAGATGCTGAGGTCCCTGACCCGCCCCTCTGTTGGAGACCCTCTCCTTGCCCACCCACTACCCTCTGAGTGACACTGGGCCCATTTCCAGGTGGAGAAGGAAGGTAGGAAGACCAAAAGGCAGAGGGGTTGAAGGAGAGGAGGCAAGGTTATACAGGGGGAATGGCAAAAGGGGGTCACAGTGCCCGGCTGGAGACAGGCAGGTGTTTAGGTCTAAATGTCCACCCCTTCAGGCTGAATCCCCCCACCCCAATAATGTTGCCCACTCCCCAGCAGAGAGCAGGTGTCCCAAGACAGGCACTAATGAAGAGGGTGCAGGAGAGCTTGGCAGGGGTCTTGCCAAGCCCTCTGGCCCCCACGTGCTGGTCACGGGCACCCTGGTTCCCTGTGTGGTAGTGCAGAGGGGCCTTGGGATCACCAAGGTGCCCACCTTCCCATGGGCCTCCCAGAACATCATTCAGGCTGAGTACTTACTGTGCTGCTCACCCCAGCCAAAATAATTCCAGTTGCCTACAAAGAAAAGGGGCAGACATAATAAAAGGGAGCAGACAGAGGGGTGGGTGTAGGGAGGGGGGCTCCCCTGTCGTCTTCCTCACTCTCCCCATCTCCTCCCTGCACCCCAAGATGGGAGCCCTCTTGTCCTGAGTACCTTCCGTGAGTATCATTTTTGTTGCTGACACTTGCTCTGTCTGTGCTCTCCACCTTGGGAGGAAGGGGTATATCCCTGTTTGTTATTGTTGTTGTTGTTGTTGTTTTTAATTTTCTTTTCTTCTTTCTTTCTTTTTTTTTTTTTTTTGAGACAGGGTCTCGCTGTGTCATCCAACCTGGAGTGCAGTGGTGCAGTCATGGCTCACTGCAGCCTTGAATTCCCAAACTCAAGCAATCCTCCCACCTCAGCCTCCCGAATAGCTGGGGTTGCAGGCACGCACCACCGTGTTCAGCTAACGCTTTGCTTTTTTGGTGGTTTTTCTTTGTGTTTTTTTGTGTAGAGATGGAGTCTTGCTATGTTCCTTAGGTTGGTCTCAAACTCCTGGTCTCAAGTGAGGCCAAGTAGTGGGATTACAGGCATGAGCCACTGTGCCTGGCTCAGTTTTCAGCGAGAGGAAAGGAGCAGTCAGGAAGTAACAAAGTGGGTATTTGGGCCTAATGTTTTCTAACTATAAAGTCTGGGGTTAGCAGCCTCCACCCTTTTCCTCTCCCTGCTTTTGAATAAGGAAAGATACACTAAAGTGGAAAACCTAAGCTTTGAGACACGCTTGTTGGGTGGATTTTATCATTCTGTTCATTTTATAGGTGAAACAATGGGTCTCAGAGAGACAGAGTGAGCAGCCCAAAGTCACACAGCCTCTGAGTATCAGAGCCAGGGCAAGAACCAACTTTGCCTATCATGTGAAGTACCTGGCACTTCAGAAAAATGTCCTGGACCAGAAACCTGGCTCTTCTGGCCACTGGCTGCTTTCTCTGGGAAATGGGGGTGACAAAACACTCCCAGTATTTACTTGTGGATAAATACTGAGTGGTGGTCTCCATTCCCCAAATTGAACCTTCCCCTGGCTCCAGTCCATCCACCCAGGGGCCCGCTGCCATTGCCTTCCTGCCTCCACTATGCCTGGCCCCACCCCACTGCAACCTCTCAGTGACCCCATTCACTGGGGAGGGCGTTTGTAATTCCTTCCAGGCAGGGATGGCCCCTCCCTGGCCAGGGAGACCAAGGGACTTTCTCAATGTCACACCCCAAGTCAGTGTAGAAACAGGGTCTCCCCAGCTGCAGTCCCTAAGCCCCTCCCACCTCTAGGTCAATTACCACTCTCCTGGACACGTGATAGGGGAAATGCAGATGCAGGAAAGACGGCGAGAGGGGAGAAAAGGAAGACGAAAAAGGAAATGAAAAAAGAGCCGAGCGTGGTGATTACACCTGTAATCCCAGCACTTTGGGAGGCTGAGGCGGGTGGATCACATGAGGTAAAAAAATTTTAGACTATCCGACCAACATGGCAAAACCCTGTCTCTACTAAAAATACAAAAATTAGCTGGGCGTGGTGGTACGCGCCTGTAATACCAGCTACTCAAGAGGCTGAGACACGGGAATCGCTCAAACCCAAGAGGCGGAGGCTGCAGTGAGCCAAGATCCTACCATTGCAGTCCAGTCTGGGTGACAAAGCGAGATTCTATCTCCAAAAAAAAAAAAAAAAAAAGGAAAGAAAGAAAAGAAAGTAAATGGGAGGCTGAAGAGTGGAGTGGGGTTTTGGTGTCAGCAGGTGGGAGCTGTGCCCTGAGGCTGTATGGTTTGCTACTTCCTCTCCACCGCAGAGCAATGGGGAGGCATTTTAAGGAGGGAGACAGCTGTTCCATCCATGAAAAGACCCGGTCTGGATGCATCTGAGTGTCCACAGGGCCCAGGGAGATAAAAAATCTTGACTGCTGCAGCCTTGTTGGAAATAGGAAGGGGACGTTTTGATCATCATAATTAACAGACAGGATGCGGTGGAAAGGGAAGCAAAGTTGGAGTCCCTGAGACCTGGGTTCAAATCCTGGCTCTGCCACTTGCCGAGTGTGTGGGTATGGGTAACATCTCCTCTTGGGCCTCAGTTTCTCCATCTAAGAAAATGGGTGAATGAAACAGCCTTTGTCTGTTGGGGGTGCACCCGTTGTACGTGTGCTGGCACATCTTCCATCTGTGTCTGTCTGCAACGTCTGAGTGTGGGCTGCTTGGGGTTTGTGCTGGCCCCATGACTAGTTTGTTGAATGAGTTCTATGTCCTCATCCAGGATCTGATGAATGGAAGTGAAGCATCTACACAGTGTTTTTCATGTCTCTAGATGTCCCAGATCCTTCCAGCAGCCCTCAGAGTGTGGGTCTGTCAGATGTGCTGTTTCAAAGAGAAGGTCCCTAAATGTTGGAGGGACACTGGCCTGCTCAGGACCATGGGGCAAGGTGGGACTCAAGCCCAAGTCTCAGAGCTAGCTAGCTTTCTCTCTTTCTTCTTTCTTTTCTTTTCTTTCTTTCTCTTTTCCTTCCTTCCTTCCTCCCTTTTCTGTTCTTTTCTATTCTTTTCTTTTTTGAGTCAGAGTCTTGCTCTGTCGCTCAGGCTGGAGTGCAATGGTGTGATTTCGGCTCACCACAGACTCTACCTTCTGGGTTCAAGCATTTCTCCTGCCTCAGCCTTCTAAATAGCTGGGATTACAGGCACCCACCACCATGTCTGGTTTTTTTTTTTTTGTTGTTGTTGTTTGTTTTTTGTTTTTTTTTTGTTTTGTTTTGTTTTGTTTTTTGGGTTTTTTTGTATTTTTAGTAGAGATGGGGTTTTGCCAAGTTGGTCAGGCTGGTCTTGAACTCCTGACCTTGGCCTCCCAAAGTGCTGGGATTACAGGGATGAGCCACCACGCCCAGCCTCAGAACTCTAATTTCTAATACACTGTAAGTGGACACTGCACTCTCAGGACTTTGTATCTCTGGAGGGGAGGAGTCTTTAGACAGGACAGTCATGGGGTTGGGGAGGGATGAGGGTTTCAGCTGATGCCCAAGAAGAATCAAGAGGTACTTACAACACTGGTTGCTGGGGACAGGCAAAGGCTTTTCTTGCTCATCTTGGAACGAATACTGAAGGGGTGGGGGAAGGAGAAAGGGCTTGTCTCAGAGGGACTGAAGGCCAGGGGACCAGGATAGTCCTCTGTTCTGTCCCATTCTCACTTCCCTCTACCTCCCAAATTCTCTCCCTATGAGAAGGATATGGGGAGTAAGAGAGCACACACACACACACACACACACACACACACACACACACACACACGAGAGAAAGACAGAGACAGAGAGAAACTGAGGAACAGATAGGAAAAAGACTAGGGGCGGGGCATGGTGGCTCACACCTGTAATCCCAGCACGTTGGGAGGCCGAGGCGGGAAGATCACCTGAGGTCAGGAGTTTAGGACTAGCCTGGCCAACATGGTGAAACCCCATCTCTACTAAAAATACAACAATTAATCTGGCCGTGGTGACACATGCCTGTAATCCCAGCTACTTGGGAGGCTGAGGTACGATAGTCGCTTGATGCCGGGAGGCGGAGGGTGCTGTGAGCCGAGATCGCGTCATTGCATTCCAGCCTCCAGCTTAGACGACAGAGCAAGACTCCATCTCAAAAAAACAAAGAAAGAAATTGTTCTACCAAAAGGACACATACACACGCATGTTCATGGCAGCGCTATTCACAATAGCAAAGATACAGAATCAACTTAGGTGCCCATCAATGGTGGATTGGATTTTTTTTTTTTTTTTTTTTTTTTTGAGATGGAGTTTCACTCTTGTTACCCAGGCTGGAGTGCAATGGTGTGATCTTGGCTCACTGCAACCTCCGTCTCCCAGGTTCAAGCAATTCTCCTGCCTCAGCCTCCCGAGTAGCTGGGACTACAGGTGCCCGCCACCATGCCTGGCTAATTTTTCTATTTTGTTGTTGTTGTTTTTTGAGATGGAGTCTTGCTCTGTTGCCAGGCGCCAGGCTGGAGTACAGTGGCACAATCTCGGCTCACTGCAACCTCCGCCTCCCAGGTTCAAGCAATTCTCCTGCCTCAGCCTCCCGAGTAGCTGGGACTACAGGTGTGCACCACCATGCCCAGCTAATTTTTGTATTTTTTAGTAAAGACAGGCTTTTACCATGTTGGCCAGGATGGTCTTGATCTCTGGACCTCATGAGCCGCCCACCTCAGCCCCTCAGAGCGCTGGGGTTATAGGTGCCCACCACCAGGCCTGGCTGTTTTTTCTATTTTTAATAGAAACGGTTTCACCATGTTGATCAGGCTGGTCTTGAACTCCTGACCTTAGGTGTTCCTCCCACCTCGGCCTCCCAGAGTGCTGGGATTACAGGCATGAGCCGCCATGCCTGGCCTGGATTTTTTTTTTTTTTTTTTTTTAAATGTGGTACCTATCACCATGGAGAACTACACAGCCATGAAAAAGAATTAAATCATGCCCTTTGCAGGAACATGGATGGGGCTGGAGGCCATTATCCTAAGCGAATCCATCCAAAAACAGAAAACCAAATCCCAAGTGTTCTTGCTTATAGGCGCCAGCTAAACATTGGCTGCTCGTGGACATGGAGATGCAAACAGTAGACACTGGGGACTCCAGAAGGGAGGAAGGAGGGAGCGGGACAAAGGGGAGTGAACTACCTGTTGGGGGCAGGGCGCAGTGGCTCACGCCTGTCATCCCAGCACTCCGGGAGGCTGAGGTAGGTGGATCACCTGAGGTCAGGAGTTCGAAACCAGCCCGCCCGACATGGAGAAACCCCATCTCTACTAAAAATACAAAAATTAGCTGGGTGTGGTGGCCCATGCTTGTAATCCCCGCTACTCAGGAGGCTGAGGCAGGAGGATCATTTGAACCTGGTAGGTGGAGGTTGCAGTGAGCCGAGATCACGCCACTGCACTTCAGCCTGGGCTAATATGAGCTGGAGGCCATTATCCTAAGCGATATCCTCTGTCTTAAAAACAAACTTACCTGTTGGGTACTGTGTTCACTATTTGAGTAACACCATGGAAGTCCAAACCTCAGCATCATGCAATATATCTGTGTAACAAACCTGCACGTGTACCCCTTGAATGTAAAATAAAAGTTTTTATTTTATTATTATTATTTTGAGACGGAGCCTTGCTCTGTTGCCCAGGCTGGAGTGCAGTGGCACGATCTCGGCTCACCGCAACCTCTGCCTCCCAGATTCAAGTGATTCTCCCACCTCAGCCTCCTGAATAGCTGGGCTTACAGGTGCCTACCACCACACCTGACTAATTTTTGTATTTTTAGTAGAGACGGGGTTTCACCATGTTGGCCAGGCTGGTCTCGAACACCTGACCTCAAATGCTCTCCCTGCCTTGGCCTTCCAATGTGCTGGGATTACAGACCTGAGCCCCTGTACCCGGCTAATTTTTTATTTTTTATTTTACTTTTAGTAGAGACAGGGTTTCACCATGTTGGCCAGGCTGGTCTCGAACTCCTGACCTCAGGTGATCTGCCTGTCTCAGCCTTCTAAAGTGTTGGGATTCCAGGTGTGAGCCCCAGGCCCAGCCTCTGCGTGTTTCTTAACCCCAACATTGTCTCGAGACTGGACCACGTGAGTCATGGATGCAGTCAAGTTACAAAGAATTAGAAACAGATATTCAGGGAAAGACAAGCTCAGAGAGAAACAGCATCGGTAAGTGGAAGATGTGGGGAGACAGAGACAGATACAAGGCAGAAAACAGCCCTTCCCACCCCAACACTCACTTCATCCTGGTCCCGCATGGCATTGAGCTGCTCCAGCTTCTTGGCCCAGTAGCGGGCCTCTTCTTCCGGAATGTCTGCAAGCAGAGCCCCGTCTGTGAGCCTGGAAGCCCCTCCCTGCCCTTCAGCCTCCATCCTCCAGGCATCCTGAGCTCCAGCCAAGCCCTGGCTTCTGGGGTCTTTGGCAAACCCTCAGAAGTGGGGGTGGGCTGATCTGTGGTCCCAGGAGGGTAGATGGAGATGAAAGGGAGGTACCGTGGTGCCTCTGCCTCCCCCTCCCCAGAGATGGATGGAGAACGGTTGGAGGATGAGAGGAGATGATTCCTAGCATTTACAAGGGTGGGGAAGCCATTGTTTTTATTATTTATCTATTTAATTTTTTTTTTTGAGATGGAGTCTTGCTCTGTTGCCCAGGCTGGAGTGCAGTGGGGCAATCTCAGCTCACTGCAACCTCCGCCTCCCAGGTTCAAGTGATTTTCCTGCCTCAGCCTCCGAGTAGCTGGGATTACAGGTGCCCGCCGCCATACCTGGCTAATTTTTGGTATTTTTAGTAGAGATGGAGTTTCATCATGTTGGCCAAGCTGGTCTTGAACTCCTGACATCAGGTAATCCTTCTGCCTCGGCCTCCCAAAGTGCTGGGATTACAGGCTTGAACCACCATGCCCAGCCCATTGTTTTTATTTTTTTTTTAGAGTCAGGGTCTCAGTCTGTCACTCAGGCTGGAGTGGCGTAATGACAGCTTACTGCAGCCTCATACTTCTGGGCTCAAGCAATCCTCCCGCCTCAGCCTCCTGAATAGCTGGGACTATGGGAACCTGCCACCATGGCTGGTGAATCTTTAACTGTTTCATAGAGATGGGATGGCACTAGATCATCTGGGCTGGTCTCAAACTCCTGGCCTCCAGTGATCCTCCCACCTCGTCCTCCCAAAGTGCTGGGATTACAGGCATGAGACACTGAGCCTGGCCAGCCATTGGTTCTTAGAAGAATGAGGTGGAGAGACCCAAGGTCTTTCCAGGAAAGGATGGGGGACTGTCCGTTCTCAGCCTCTGTCCACATATCTCTCTGTCTCTCTGTCTCTGTCTGTCTCTCCTCCTATCCCCAGCCCACTCTTGCAGCCTCAGGCATAACCGAGGAATAGCCAGGATGGCCCAGCCCTGAGCCCCCTGGGTTGTGAAGCGTTTGCAGCTCAAATTACGGGGCCTGGGTCACGGTCCGCACATGGCAGGTTCACAGCAATTGTGGGAAGTAGAAAAGCTTCCTTTTTAAAGTTTCCTTTCTTAAAGAATAAATCATAAGTGTGCTAATAACTTTGTTAAGCCCTATCCTGTGTAGCTGTTAGACATGCTTATAGGTATATCCTTGTACTTTAACCAAGATATCTGTGCTGGACGCGCTCACGGGCAGGTTCCAGTTCTCTATTGCTTTTAGAAAAGTTTTAAGTTGGCCGGGCGCGGTGGCTCAAGCCTGTAATCCCAGCACTTTGGGAGGCCGAGGCGGGTGGATCACGAGGTCAAGAGATCGAGACCATTCTGGTCAGCATGGTGAAACCCCGTCTCTACTGAAAATACAAAAAATTAGCTGGGCATGGTGGCGCGTGCCTGTAATCCCAGCTACTCAGGAGGCTGAGGCAGGAGAATTGCCTGAACCCAGGAGGCAGAGGTTGCGGTGAGCCGAGATCGCGCCATTGCACTCCAGCCTGGGTAACAAGAGCAAAACTCCGTCTCAAAAAAGAAAAAAAGAAAAGTTTTAAGTCATTAGCCAATCAGGTTTTAGTTTACATTGTGAGGTCTGGCTCCAGCCAATGAACATCAGACACAGCAGTAAGGACCACCCCGAATAGGTGAGGAATAAATTAGTGTGTTTTCCTTTGTTCACTGCGCTCGTGTGGCAAGATGGCTAGCGAGGGTACCCTTCCTGCAGTCCAGGAAGTAAAAATTGTGTTGCTGAAAGATCCTTTGTCTCAGTGCTGATTTTTCTTTCCGGCACCAAGCGTCTATTTCCAACAACCCTGTTCTCTGAAACCCAACAAACTCTCTCTCCTCTGGAGCGAAGGACCCTCATTCTCAGCCCGGAGGGTCAGCTGGACCTCCCCAGGCCTGTTCACTCTCCTGGAATAGCTGAGTGAGTCCAGAAGTGGGGCCGGGGCTGGGTTGAAGGTCACGTGCCCCGGTACTCACCTAAAGGCAGCTCAAAGCGCGTGTCCAGGAGGATGCGGTGGAAAGTGGGGTCCTTGGTGCCGCAGATCTCGCTGTCTGCCATGATGACCTGAGAGTCCAGCGTCAGCCACTCTCCGGGGCCCTCCTGGGGTGGGGAAGCAGGTGTGTGGTCAGGTGTCTGCTGCATGCTGGGCCCCGGGGCCCCTACTCTCACATGAAACATCCCCCCACCCCTACCCCGAAACAAAAGTCATGTCTCATGTCTCTCTCTCTCTTTCCTCCTTTCCTCCCTCCCACCTTCCTTCCTTCCTTTTTTTTTTTTTTTTTTTTTTTTTTTTTTTTTTTTTGAGACAGAGTCTTGCTTTGTTGCCAGGCGCCAGGCTGGAGTGCAGTGGTGTGATCTCGGCTCACTGCAACCTCCGCCTCCCGGGTTCAAGCTGTTCTCCTGCCTCAGTCTCCCGAGTAGCTGGGACTACAGGCGCGCACCACCACGCCCAGCTAATTTTTGTATTTTTTAGTAGAGAGGGGGTTTCGCCATGTTGGCCAGGATGGTTTTGATCTCTTGACCTTGTGATCCGCCCGCCTCGGCCTCCCAAAGCTTGCTTTCTTTCTCTTTTTTTTTTCTTTCTTTTTCTTCCTTTTCTTTCTCTTTCCCTCCTTCCCTCCCGTCCTTTCTCTCTTCTTTCTTCTTTTTCTTTCTCCTTCCTTCCTTCCTCTCCTTCCTTCCCTCCCTCCCTCCCTCTCTCTCACCCTTCCCTTCCCCTCCCCTCTCCTCCCTTCCCCTCTTTTTCCCCCGCCTCTCTTTTTCTCACTCTTTATTTTTAGAGCTGGGGTCTCCCTATGTTGCCCAGGCTCATCTTGAGCTCCTGGCCTCGAGTGATCCTCATGCCTCAGCTTCCAGTAGCTGGGACTACAGGCACATGCCACTGTGCCTGGCTGTATTCCCATGTTACACATGAAAAAAACAGATTCCGAGAGGGAAAGGTCTCAGTCCAGAGCCACATGGTGAGTCAGGGGAACCCAGAGCAAGGGACCTAGAGGGGGAGCCCCTTGGGGTCATGTAGGGACAGCCCCAGCCTGCCATGGTAATTCCCAACCCCTGATAAGGGGTTATGGGACTCTGACTTCAGATAAAAGCCCTGGGGCCTGCCGTCACCCAGGGAGAACGTCCCCCAGGAGAGCGAGTCCATTTCCCCTGGTTCAGAAATGTCAGCCTTTGAGCAAGTGGGGTCCACCCTGAATCTCAGTCTCTTCATTATTCAAATGGGAATGATCTTTAGTGGAATCTACTTTCTGCCACCCCAGGTGACCAGGATTCCCTCACACTTGAAGGGCCGCTGAGGAAATTTTGGGTCTCCCTCAAGGCTTCCTTTTATATATTTTAATTTAATTTTTTTGATACAGGGTCTCACTCTATCACCCAGGCCGGAGTGCAGTGGCATGATCTCAGCTCACTGCAAACTCCGCCTCCCAGGCTCAAGTGATTCTCCTACCTCAGCCTCCTGAGTTGCTGGGATTACAGGTGCACACCACCACGCCTGGCTAATCTTTTGTATTTTTTAGTAGAGACGGAGTTTCACCATGTTGACTAGGCTGGTCTTGACTTTTGACCTCAGGTGATCCACCTGCCTCAGCCTCCCAGAGTGCTGGGATTACAGGCATGAGCCACCACACCCAGCCAGGGCTTCCTTTTAGACTCACTTGCCTGGAATGTTGCAACCATTTCGTCCCTCTCCATTCATTCATTCATTCAAAAGCAGACACTCACTGGCCAGGTGCGGTGGCTCATACCTATAATTCCAGCACTTTGGGAGGCCAAGGTGGGCAGATCACTTGAGATCAGGAGTTAAAGACCAGCCTTGCCAGCATGATGAAACCCCATCTCTACTAAAAATGCAAAGATTAGCTGGGTATGGTGGCGGATGCCTGTAATCCCAGTTACTCAGGAGGCTGAGGCAGGAAAATCACTTGAGCCAGGTAGGCAGAGGCTGCAGTGAGCCGAGATGATGCCACTGCACTCCAGCCTGGGTGACAAAGCAAGACTCCATTTCAAAAAAAGAAAGAAATGACATAACAAAATGAACAAAGAAAAAATAGTCCCCAGTCCCTCCTGTATACCTGGTTTATACTGGATGATGCCAGGGTCTCCCAAGAGGCCCCAGTCATCATCACCATCTCCCCCGAGGAGCCCACAGCCCTGGGAAACAGAGCTGGACACAGGCACCCCCAGCCCCATGAGGTCATAGCTAGCCCAGGGCTAAAGGATCCAGATGGAAGTCAGAGAGGGATTCCTGGAGGAGGACACATGGGAATTTAGAGGGTGATGGAAAGGAGGACACTTGAAACTCAGGGAACAGACTATGCAAAGGTTCAGAGGCTGGAATCTGGGAGGGGTGGAAGTTGGAGTGTGGGGGGAGACAAGGCTAGTAGGCGGGTGCCATCTAAAGGGAAATAGACAGGGGAGGATGGATCAGAGCTCCAGGTAGTAAAACCCTCCTGGGGTCAGCATGGAGGGGTTGAGACTTAAGGTCAGGAGGCCAGCGGTTGGGCTGTGGGGACAGACGAATAGACACGACCACAGCTTGGTGCAGTGGCTCATGCCTGTAATACCAGCAGTTTGGGAGGCCGAGGTAGGTGGATCACTTGAGCCCAGGAGTTCAAGACCAGCCTGGGCAACATGGCAAAACCCCGTCTCTATTTAAAAAAAAAAAAATGGGGGGATATGGTGGCATGCACCTGCAGTCCCAGCTACTCAGGAGACTGAGATGGGAGGATCACTTGAGCTTGGGAAGTCGAGGCTGCAGTGGGCCATGATTGTGCCACTGCACTCCAGTCAGGGCAAAAGAATAAGAGCCTGTCTCAAAAAATAAATAAATACAAAATAGACACCACTACTACCTGCTGACCGTGAGGCATGGACTGAGGGGCCAGGGTTCTTACCCAGCACCTTCTTCTGAGCTGCTGTAACCTTCCTGCTGCTGCCCATCTGGGACACAAAATGCCAATTGCCTACATTATCCCTTTTCTCTTTCCGTAGTAATATATTTTTAGCTGTGCCTAGGGTTGCACAGCCTAGGACTACATTTCCCAGCCTAGAACTACATTTCCCAGAATCCCTTGCAGTTAGGTGTTGGCCACATGTCTAAATTCTGGCCAATGAGATGTATCTGAACTCCCTGCCCCTTACCACCTTTTCCTGGTTGGAATGAAGATGCAATGGTGAGCCTGAAGCAGCCATTTGGGGCCACAAGGTCAAAGCCACATGGAGAGAGAGGCAGAGCAAGATGGAAGTTGTATTAGGCCCTGGTGACTTTGGAAGGTTCATGGCAGACCCAGGTGTCTACATTGATGTTGTCAGGCTCAGGCCACCTGCCACTCACCTCATTGGACTGGCGGATGGTCCGCAGTGGGATCCACACTGTGCCCACCATTGTGTCCCAGATGAGACCCTTGTTCCACACCTCCACCGTCAGTCCCAAATCCAGACGGTTAATCTCGCTGTGGAAAAAGGACGGGGGCATCGAGGGAGAAAATGGGGGTTCAGAGAGGTTAATTCATTCATCTGAGAACACACAGCATGCCACAATTCAAACCCAGGCCTGGGAGTGTCCTGGCTGATATGATAACGTGGTGGTTCTCGTTTTATAGAGGGGAAACTGAGGCCAGTGAGGGAAGTTAAGAGCTCGAGGTATCACAGAAGGACCAGGATCGAAAGCCGGGAAGGGCGGCGTGGAGACAGATGTGACACACTGCCTGCAGCTTCGTCTTTCTGGGCCTTCCTTAAGCCCTCCAACCCTGACCATGCTGGCCAAGTGGGGAAGAGGATCGAATACCTGCACAGCTCCTTCCACCCCCAGGATAAGAACATTTGGGGACCTCTGTCCTTCCCAGTGTCATCTCCATCTCATGAGGTGAGGACACGATCCCATCTCCAAGCACTTTCCCTGCAGGCCTCGTCCTAGACATATGTTGATTCAGGGGCGCAGGAAACTTGGCGAAATGTGAGATTCACTGAATTTACAGTTTACCAAAGATTTATCTTAAGGAATGTATTTTTAAAATATACCTGTTGACTGGGCCTGGTGGCTCATATCTGTAATCCCAGCAATTTGGGAGGCCGAGGTGGGCGGATCATCTGAGGTCAGAAGTTCAAGACCAGCCTGGCCAACATGGTGAAACCCCATTTCTACTAAAAACACAAAAAGTAGCCGGGTGTGGTCGTGTGCGCCTATAGTTCCAGCTACTTGGGAGGCTAAGGCAGGAGAATTGCTTGAACCCAAGAAGTGGAGGTTACAGTGATGCGAGATCACGCCACTGCACTCCAGCCTGGGCTACAGAGTAAGTCTCCATCACAAAAAAAAAAAAAAAAAAAAAAAGAAAGAAAGAAAGAAAAAAAAGAAGAAATAATCTGTTGGCCAGGTGTGGTGGCTCACATCTGTAATCCCGGCACATTGGGAGGCTGAAACAGGTGGATCACCTGAATCCAGGAGTTTGAGATCAGCCTGGCCAACATAGTGAAACCCCATCTCTACTTAAAATACAATTAGCCTAGTGTGGTGGCACACTCTTGTAATCCCAGCTACTTGGAAGGCTGAAGCAGAAGGATCACTTTAATCCGGGAGGTGGAGGTTGCAGTGAGCTGAGATCATGCCACTGCACTCCAGCCTGGGGAACAGAGTGAGACTCTGTCTCAATCAAACGAACAAACAAAACAATTGGTGGCGAGGGCTGGGAAGACATGATGCCCTGAAATGGTAGCTTGGGCATGATGGTCAGGGAGGGCTTCACTGAGGAGGTGACACAAGCTGAGACCTGAAGAAGAGCCAGCTGGGGACTGGAGAGCAAGCGCAAGGGCCCTGGGGCAGGAACAAGCTGGGAGGCGTTGGAGAAAGAGGTGGGTGTGGGTACGGCCGGGGCAGGGGAGTGAGAGGGTGTAGACAGAGCGAGAAGGTGGCGGGAACCGTGGGGAAGACTCTGGGTTTTATTCTGAGGTCGATGAGCCACGGACAAGTTTGGAACATGGGAGCGACAGGATGTGATTTGCAGTTTTAAAAATAGCCCCCTGGCTGCCTGGAGGAGAACAGATTGCAGGAGGTGGATAGCACAGGAGGCCAGGGCGGAGGCTGGCGGGCAGCGGGGACTTGGCTGGTGGCCCTGAAGACCAAGGAAAGTGATTGGATTGGGAATGTGTTTTGGAGGTGGAGGACACAGGATGAGGGAGGCTGGAGGGGAGTCGCCTGGGCTTCCCCAGTGTCCAGTTCAGCCCTGAGGGGCCAGGGTCATGCCAGAGGCTGCAGACTCACAACATGAAGTCCTGCTCCCAGCTGGGCTGGCTGCCCCGCACTGCGATGGTCGTGCTCTTGACATTCTGCACCTTCAGGGTCACGTACGTGTTGAATTTCTCTGTGGCAGTGAGAGCAGGGATCAGGCACTGGGGCTCAGGGGCTCTCCAATGCCCCTTTCCAAGCTCTAGATGACCCGCTGGGACCCCCTTGGGAATTTCTGGGCCACTCACCCCCTAACCCCCAACCCCACCCTCAGGGCACGAGGGAGGGTCCTCAGTGGGGAGAGATGTGGAATTTTGGGATACTTCCTCCAGCTGCCTCAAAATGACTACATCATTGGTTTTTGGCTAAAAAGACTGAGGCCCCAGAAGAGGGAACAAAATTGACTGAAGGAACCCCCGTTGCTGGGTGGGCGCGGTGGTTCACGCCTGTGATCCCAGCACTTTGGGAGGTCGAGGCGGGAGGATCACTTGTGCCCAGCCTGGATAACTTGGGTAAGCCCTGTCTCTACTAAAAATACAAAAAAATAATTAGCCAGGCACAGTGGCACATGCCTGTGGCCCCAGAAACTCGGGAGGCTGAGGTGGAAGGATCGCTTGAGCCTGGGAAGTTGAGGCTGCAGTAAGCCATGATTGCACCAGTGCACTCCAGCCTCAAAAAATAAAAAATTAAAATTAAAATTAAAAAAAAAAAAGAGGCAGGGTGTGGTGGCTTACGCCTGTAATCCAGCACTTTGGGAGGCTGAGGTGGGCGGATCATTTGAGGTCAGGAGTTCGAGACCAGCCTGGCCAACATGGAGAAACCCTGTCTTTACTAAAAATACAAAAACTAGTTGGGCGTGGTAGAGGGCGCCTGTAATCCCAGCTACTTGGGAGGCTGAGGCTGGAGAATCGCTTGACCCAAGGAGGTAGAGGTTGCAGTGAGCCGAGATTGCGCCACTGCCCTCCAGCCTGGGCTACAGAACCAAACCCTGTTTCAAAAAAAAAAAAAAAAAACAAGAAGAAAAGAAAAGAAAGAAACTCCCTTTGCCTCTGTGAGCTTCACTTTTTGCAACTGTAGCCCCATTTAAGAGTCCCCATCCTGCCTCTTAGGACCCTGGGAAGAGCCACTGGCTCAGGGCAAGCCCCACCCCGATACAATCTCCCAATATGGCTGGGGAGACCAGGGAACCCCCATACAAACTCCAGGGACCCCATGCCAAGGGCTGCCCCTCCCCCTGTTTAATCCTCTCACCCCTTTCCTGATGCTCAGAAGACACAAAGCTCAAGTCTAAGTCTGGTCTCCAAGAGACAGACAGACAGACAGACAGACAGAGAAACGGACAGACAGGCAACACGGGACAGGACAGCAAGAGAAGCCACTTACCTTGGGCACCGTCAAACTTGGCTTTTTTGACTGTGGAGAGAGACAGAGATAGGGAAGGGAGATGCGGGGAGAAGTGGGGAGGAGAGGGGCAGAGGGAGAGAGAGAGTCAGAGACACACCAAGATAGAGACAGAAGGAGAGAGACACGGAGGAGAGACAGGCAGAGATTAAAAAGCAACAGAGAGGTTTTTAAAAAGATAAAGATAGAAGCAATGTCGGAGGCAGAGACAAGGAGAGGAGGAGAGGGAGGAAGGAGGAGGCAGGGATGAGAGGGAGAGAGAGAGAGAAGCCATCAGACAGATGAGCACAGGCGGCCCTAGGATGGAAGGAAATTTGGACCCTGAGAGCAGTCCCTACCCCTCCCTCTCCCTCCAACCCCGTCCCCATCAAACTCCCCAAGCTCCCCAACTAGCTGTGCCGTTACCCGCAATTAAACCAGATTAGAAAGAAAGAGCTGGGCAAATGGTGAGAGAGGCCTCCTACAGGAAGCCCTCCAGGATGGCCCCAGAAGAAGAGGGGAAGTTGAAGAGGTGGAGAAGAAGAAGGTGAGGATAAAGACAATCTCTGATGACTCCACCAGCCCCTTCAGGCCCACAAGACCTCTTCCTCCATTGTCCAGCTCAGTCTGCGATGTCAGATGCTCTCAGGTTTTGGGGAAGCCTCAAAGAAGGCCGGGCGAGGTGGGATAAAGCAACCCAGAGAGCTGGCTCTCAAAATGCACACGGAGGGTAAGGCACGGTGGCCCACACCTATCACCCCAGCACTTTAGGAGGCTGAAGCACGTGAAGCACCTGAGGTCAGGAGTTCGAGACCAGCCTGGCCAACATGGTGAAACCGCGCCTCTACTAAAAACACAAAAATTAGCCAGGCGTGGCGATGGGCGCCTGTAGTCGCAGCTACTTGGGAGGCTGAGGCAGGAGAATCTCTTGAACCCAGGAGGCACAGGCTGCAGTGAGCTGAGATCGCAGCACCGTACTCCAGCTTGGGTGACACAGCGAGACGCTTGTCTCAACAACAGCAAAAAGTTAACGCAAGTGGAGACACCTTCGTCCTGGCCGGAGGGCTGGCGGGGATTGTCCAGCCCCACTTGCTTGTGGGAGGTGCAACCTGAATATACGTCTGGCACCCGCCGAGGACCAGTCTCTCACATTTCACAGAATTCCGCAGCCCCAGGAGATGCAAAGCCATTCCGCCCCCTCCTGGCACTTATAACCAGGTATTCCATTTCCACCGCCAACACCTCTCACACTCTGCTCTCGTCCCCCACGTCTTTTTCCTCCATTCATTCTCTACTCCCACCCCCAATCTGTTCCCACACTGAGCCCTTCCTCCCTTCCTTCCTTCCTCTTCTTTCTTCTTTCTTCTTTCTTCCTTTCTGATGGAATTTTTCTTTCCTTCCTTCCTTCTTTCCATCCCTTCCTTCATCCTTCCTTCTCTTCCTCCCCCCGCCTTTTTTTTTTTGAGACGGAGTTTCGCTCTTGTTACCCAGGCTGGAGTGCAATGGCGCGATCTCGGCTCACCGCAACCTCCGCCTCCCGGGTTCAGGCAATTCTCCTGCCTCAGCCTCCTAAGTAGCTGGGATTACAGGCACGCGCCACCATGCCCAGCTAATTTTTTGTATTTTTAGTAGAGACGGGGTTTCACCATGTTGACCAGGATGGTCTCGATCTCTCGACCTCGTGATCCACCCGCCTCGGCCTCCCAAAGTGCTGGGATTACAGGCCTGAGCCACCGCGCCCGCCCCCTCCGCCAGCCTTTCTTTCTTTCTTTCTTTCTTTTCTTTCCCAGTCTTGTTCTGTTGCCCAGGCTGAACTACAGTGGCGCGATCTCAGTCACCGCAACCTCTGCATCCCCGATTAAAGCAATTCTCCTGCCTCAGTTTCCCAAGTAGCTGGGGCTACAGGCCTGCAACACCATGCCCGGCTAATTTTTGTATTTTTTAGTAGAGACAGGGTTTCACTCTATGTTAGCCAGGCTGGTCTCGAACGCCTGGCCTCAGGTGATCCACCCGCCTTGGGCTCCCAAAGTGCTGGGATGACAGGTGTGTGCCACCGCGCCAGCCCCTTTTCTCTCCTCCCTATTTTCTTCTCCCCTTTTCCTTGTCAGATTAATGTCTTTGTTTGTGTAGGCAACGCATGCACATGTTGTGAAATCCAAAACAACTAAGAGATGAAACACTGAGAATAAAGCTCTTTCCATCCCGGCCCTACGTCTCCTTCCCAGATGCAATCTACGTTGGCAATTGCTTGTGCCACTGGAGATGGTCCATGTGTCGGCAATCATACCCACGTTCGCCTTGCTTGATTTCCAAGACAAATGGCTCACTCGACACCCACTGTTCTAATCCTTCATGTTTTTTTCAGTATGTCTTGAAGAGCGTGTGCTAGCGAGTTGAAGGCTAAATTCCTAGAAACAGAATTGTGTCTCCTCTCTGGGCAGATGTCACAGCCTCCCATCCCGGGTTTGCAACTCTGTCCTCATCACTCGAATTTCTGTCTCACAAAAGGCACCTGAGTGGAACCAGTGAAGAGAGAATTCGCATGAAGAGCCGGGGAAGTGCGATGGCCCTCAACACATGTCAGTAAAGACGGTCTGTTTCCGGCCAGGCGTGGTGGTTCCTGCCTGTAATCCCAGCACGTTGGGAGGCCGAGGCGGGTGGATCACTTGAGGTCAGGAGTTCAAGACCAGCCTGGCCAACATGGCGAAATCCCATCTTTAGTAAAAATGACAAAAATTAGCCAGCCTGGTGGTGTGCACCTGTAATCCTGGCTACTTGGGAGGCTGAGCCAGGAAATCGCTTGAACCTGGAAGGTGGGGGTCACAGTGAGCAGAGATGAGGCCACTGCCCTGCAGCCCTTAGCTGGGCCTTGGGAGAGGTGACCGCTGATTTGAGCCAGGTTCGGATTCCAGAGCTGTGTGACCCTGGGCAAGTGAATCCCTTCTCTGGGCCTTCATCTCTGTTTGGTTCCAACTCTGTCTTTTTTTTTTTTTTTTTCCTAGATCTGGTTTTCTCTCTCACATTGCCCCACCCAGCCCCCAGGGAGCGCACCCACCTGGCACCTCACCCCTGGGGCTGAGATAGGCTCAGGAACACTCAGGAGTGTGCCCAAGAGCTTTGGGCCTCGCTCTTGGAGGGGGTCCAGGCTGCAGGTGTGTGGATGCTCTGTGAGGGGAGTGGCCAGGGGAAGGGGCAGGAGGGAACATGGTGATGGCATCAGGGGGCGGAGGAGAGAGTGACAGAGGCTGACACTGGCCCCACAGCTGGAGGGTCTCATACAGGGAGAGGAAGAAATGACAGGATGAGAACGGGAGGGTACAGACAGATGGAGAGAAATAGACAGAGACGCGAGGAGACAGAGAGAGCGCCAGACATGGAGGCACATGCCTGTAATCCCATATACTCGGGAGGCTGAGGCAGTGGCGGGGGGGCCTTGAGATGCCGAGTTCAAGACCAGCCTGGCCAATGTAGTAAGATCCCATGTCTAAAAATAACGATTTAAAAGACAGAGAGAGGCCAGGCGCCATGGCTCACACCTGTAATCCCAGCACTTTGAGGCCGAGGCAGGTGGATGGCCTGAGCTCAGGAGTTCGAGACCAGCCCTGGGCAACATGGCAAAACCCCATCTCTACTAAAAATACAAAAATTAGCCGGGTGTGGTGGTGCACGCCTGTAGTCCCAGCTACTTGGGAGACTAAGGCAGGAGAATCACTTGAACCTGGGAGGCGGAGCTGGCAGCGAGCCAAGATGGCACCTGGGTGACAGAGCGAGACTCTATCTCCAAAATAATAATAATAATAATAATAATAATAATAATAGTAATAAAAGAGAGAAAGATTTCCACTAGGGAGGGCAGGCAGGTGGAGAAGCCACTGGGGAGAGGAGAGGCCACTGGGAGAGAAGAGGAGGGAGAAGTATGTGGGGGTGGGGAAGTAACAGGCCCTGGGGGGGGTGACACAAGGGGCTCACTGGGGTCTAGCCTGGGCTTGGCCCCACTTGAAGCTCCTCCAACTGTGCCCCGTTTTATAAACCACGGATTTAGGCTCAGAAGGGAGCCCAGTAGCTGCCTGATCTGTTCTGTCTCTCCCCCCATCCCTGTCTCTCGTCTCCCTCCTCCCTGTTCTGTTTCTCTCCACCCCTGCTATCTTCTTTCAGTCTCTATTCTCTCCTTCTCTCTCTCTCTCTGCCCTTTCTGTGTCCCTCCCTTGGTCAATCCGCGCCTCCTCTTTCCAGCGCCTCAGCTCCTTGCTGCAGCTTCTCTTGGCTGGAGGGGAATGGTCTCCGTTGGGGTCGTCGGGCAGTGGGGGACCGGCTGGAGAGCTGTACCTCGGACAGCTGAAGCCAGGCTCCGGCCCCTAGTCCCCTACCGAGGTCCAGGGTGAGGACCATGTTTTTTCATCACCGGGGCTCGGAGTGAGTGGGAGAGGGGTCTCAGAGGGAAAGGGGAACAGGGAAGGGGGCGGAGATGGGGAGGGGGGTTCTCAGGAGGGAAGGGGGTTCGCGTTGGGGGAGGGGATTCGGGCAGGGCGAGGGGCGCGGAGGAGGGAGTGGACTCAGAAAAGGCACCCAGCCTTCCTCCCTGTCTTCCCTGGTCAGTAAATAGTCCCTGAGTCACCGCCTTCGTCGTCACATCCCGCCACCCTCTCCCCGCCCGAGCGCGGTTGCGGTATCAGGGTCAGCGGGGCGGAAGCGCCACCCCTCCCCGGCGGGCTTCGGGTCACACGCAAGAGGCTATTTATAGCGTGGGCGCGCGGAGGGCGTGGGCGGCGCGCCGGAGGGCAGGGGGTGGGGGACGAGGGGGGAGCCCGCTGCGGTCCCCAGCGACGGGCGGGTGGAGACACCGCCTCACGCGGCCTCCGAGGTCTTGGGGGGCCCCCCCAGCAGCGCCGATTGAAGAATGTAGGGGCGGAACCCGGGGAGGTTGAGGCAGGAATTCAGGCTGCGGGGACCCCCCTGCAGCCTGGCTCCGGGCCTCAGTTTCTGCATCTGGAAAATGGGAAGACAGAGTGTCTGGCCTCCCTTGCCTTTCCTTT